TGATTTCAACCTTTTAAAATTTATGGAGACTTGTTTTGTGACCTAACATATGTTCTATCTTGGAGAATATTTCATGTACATGTGAGAAGAATCTGCATTCTGCAGTTGTTGGATGGAATGGTCTATATATCTGTTAGGTCTAGTTGGTTTATAGTATTCTATTTCCTTACTAATTTTCTTCTTCTTTTTTTTAATAGAGATGGGATCTCACTCTGTCACCCGTGCTGGAGTACAGTGGCACAATCACAGCTCACTACAACAGCCTTGACTTCCTGGGCTCAAGGAATCCTCTCACCTTAGCCTTTCAGGTAGCTGGGACTACAGTCATGTGCCACCATGCCCAATGAATTTGTAAATTTTTCTGTAGAGACAGGATCTCACTATGTTACCCAGCTGGTCTCAGATTTCTAGGCTTAAGTGATCCTCCTGCCTTGTCTTCCCAAAGTGCTGGGATTTCCTTACTAATTTTCTGACAAGTTGTTCTGTCTATTATTAAAGTGGGTATTGGCTGGGCACAGTGGCTCATGCCTGTAATACCAACAGTTTGGCTGAGGCAGGAGAATCAATCACTTAAGCCCAGGAGGTCAAGGCTGCAGTGAACTATGATCACACCACTCCAGCCTGGGCAACAGAGCAAGACTCTGTCTCTAAAAATAAAATAAACAAAAGGAGGTAGTGAAGTCTCCAACTACCATTGTAGAATTCTTCCTTCAATTCTGTCAATGTTCATGTCATGTATTTTGGGGATCTGTTATTTGGTATGTATGTGTTCATAATTGTTTTATCTTCTGATAAATTGACCTCATTATCAATATATGACTTTCTCTTACTTGTAACAACTTTTTTTAAAGAGACAGGGTCTTGCTATATTCCCCAGCTAGAGTACTCCTGGGCTCAAGTAATCCTCCCACTTTAGCCTCCCAAGTACCTAGGACTGCAGGTATGCACCTCTGCACCCAGCTCTTCTTGTGACAATGTTTTTACTTAAGATTATTTTGTCTAATATTGGCATAGATACTTCAGTTCTCTTTTGGTTACTATTTGCATAGAATATCTTTTGCTATCCTTTTACTTTCAACCTACTTGTATCCTTGGATCTAAAGTGAGACTTGTCAAATATAAGACACCACACACACACACACACACACACACGCATGCACAAGGAAAGGTGGAATATATTAGAAAACAAAACAACATGAGAGAATATTACTAAAATTACTGTTAAAGGTAGAAGTTGGAAGTCTGTCTCATTAGACTTTTCATTTGTTTATAATTATAATTAACATAATTATAATTGAATATTGACATTATTAGAGTAAATAATTTTTTTCTGAGATGGAGTTTTACTCTTGTCTGGGATTACAGGCACCAGCCACCATGCCTGGCTAATTTTTATATTTTTTAGTAGAGACGGTTTCACCATGTTGGCCAGACTGGTCTTGAATACCTGACCTCAAGTCATCCACTCTCCTTAGCCTTCCAAAGTGCTGGGATTATAGGCATAAGCCACCATGCCCAGCGGTTAGAGTAAATAATAAATTTAAAACACAAAACACTATTATGTTTTCCTAAATCTTGATTGCTTTTCTTCTGCTCACCTTATTGTAACAGTCTTTCAATGAGAAAACTGTTGGAGTTTTCTATTTTATTGATTGATGGATTGAGACAGGGTCTCACTCTGTCACCCAGGCTGGAGTGCAGTAGCACAATCTCAGCTCACTGTAACCTCAACCTCCCAGGCTCAGGTGATCCTCCCACCTCAGCCTCTCAAATAGCTGGGACCACAGGTGCATGCCATCACGCCTGGCTAATTTTTTTTTTTTTTTTTTTGTAGAGACGGGATTTTGTCACGTTGCTCAGGCTGATCCTGAAATCTTGAACTCAAGTAATCTGTCAGCCTTAGCCTCCCAAAGTGCTGGAATTACAGGTGTGAGCCACCACCACGCCCAGCTGAGTTTTTGTTTTTTAATTTTTTTTTTTTTAGAGGTGGAGTCTCACTCTGTCGCCCAGGCTGGAGTGCAGTGGTGTGATCTCAGCTCACTACCACTGCCACCTCCCAGTTTCTAGCAATTCTTCTGCCTCAGTCTCCTGAGTAGCTGGGACTACAGGAACATGTCACTACAGCTAATTTTTTGAATCTTAGTAGAGACAGGGTTTCACCATGTTGTCCAAGCTGGTCTTGAACTCCCGAACTCAGGCAATCCACCCACCTCAGCCTCCCAGAGTGCTAGGATTACAGGCGTGAGCCACCGCACCCAGCCTTAAAATATCTACTGTAATATTCAATTTTCTATCAAAACATTTAAGAATTGCAAATCAGAAAATAAACCAATTCAACTTTAAAAAAATAAATTGAGTCTCTTGTGGACACTTTTAAAAGTGCATTCTGGCCAGGTGTGGTGGCTCATGCTTGTAACCCCAGCACTTTGGGAAGCTGAGGCGGGTGGATCACCTGAGATCAGGAGTTCAAGACCAGCCTGGCCAACGTAATGAAATCTTATCTTTACTAAAAATATAAAAATTAGCCAGGCGGGATGGCATTCCAGCCTGGGCAACACAGCAAAACTCCATCTCAAAAATTTAAAAAAAAAAAAAAAAAGTGCCTCCTGGTCAGGTGTGGTGACTCACACCTGTAATCCCAGCACTCTGGAAGGCCGAGGCAGGTGGATCACGAGGTCAGAAGATCGAGACCATCCTTGCTAACATGGTGAAACCCTGTCTCTACTACAAACACAAAAAATTAGCCAGGTGGGGTGGCATGTGCCTGTAGTTCCAGCTCCTTGGGAGGCTAGGGCAGGAGAATCGCCTGAACCAGGCAGGCGGAGGTTGCAGTGAACTGAGATGGCACCACTGCACTCCGGCCTGGGCGACAAAGTGAGACTCTGTCTCAAAAAAAAAAAACAAAAAACATCCTGAGGCCGGGCACAGGTTGTTCACTTGCCTTACAATGTTTTTAAGGAATGTTCTCTGCATAGCCACTTTTCTGCCCTGAGCGAGTTAAAGTTAGGCAAAACAAAGGTAGGTACCTTGTGTCAGTCCTTCAAGCAGCCCACCAACAGATTAGAAAAGACAAAATTCTTTGAGAACAGGGTCTTCTCTGCTCCCTCTGGAACCAGGGACCAGGTTCCCAAATTGAGAACATGGGCTGTCATCTTCAAAAGCACAACCAAGCCAGGGAGGCAGGGTGGGACAAGGGTGAGTAAAAAATGTTGCAAAGCTTTTCTGCCATTTTTAGGTCGCCTCCTTCTGGATTCAGCATTTTCCTAGGTTCTGCAAATCTTTGACTATTCTCCAGAGTTCTGACAATGCTCATTCTGGCAGTTTTTGCTTACTTTTCGGTGTTTCTGTGAATCAACAAGCCCTTTAGATTAGATAAATCATGTATCTAACACATGATTTAATTTTTACATTTAGATTTCTGATCCATATGGTTTATCATGGTATATAGTGTAGGTTCAATTTTAATATTTGTCAAACGACTATTCAGTTATCCCCAGTCTATTTAGTAAATAGTCTTTCTGGCCGGGTGTGGTAGCTCACACCTGTAATCCCAGCACTTTGGGAGGCTGAGACAGGTGAATCACCTGAGGTCAGAAGTTTAAGACCAGCCTGGGCAACATGGCAAAACCCCATCTCTACTAAAAATAAAAAAATTAGCCAGGTATGGTGGCAGATGCATGTAATCCCAGCTATTCGGGAGGCTGAGGCAGGGAGAATTGCTTCAACACCAAAGGCGGAGGTTGCAGTGAGCTGAGATTGTGCCACTGCACTCTAGCCTGGGCGACAGAGTGAGACTCTATCTCAAAAAAAAAAAAAAAAAAAAAAGTCTGTCATACCTGTAATGCCAGCACTTTGAGAGACCAAGGCAGGAGGATCATTTGAGCCCAGAAGTTCCAGGCTGCAGTGAGCTGGGATTGCAAAGATGAAAACTAAAATGATGTTTTATAGAATGTTTTAAAATGTGATAGGGCTCATTCTTCTTCTTTTCAGGGTTTTCTTCTCTCTCTCTCTCTCTCTCTCTCTCTCTCTCTCTCTCTCTCTCAGTAGAATCTTGCTCTGTTGACCCAGGCTGGAGTGCAGTGGCATGATCATAGCTCACTATAGCCTTGAACTCCTGGGTTCAAGTGATCCTCTTTCTTCAACATACCAAGTAGATGAGACTACAGGCACACACCATGATGCCTAGCTTTTGTTTTGTTTTCCAGAGAGATCAGGGGGATCTCACTATGTTGCATAGGCTAGTCTTGAACTCCTGGCCTCAATAATCCTCCTGCCTCAGCCTCCCGAATCACTGGGATTATAAATGTGAGCCACTACACCCAGCTCATTCTTCACTGTTCTTGCTTATTTTTCAATGAAAATTTCAGAACTAATTGGTTTGATTTCAGAGAAACCATATTTTTATTGGTATCATGTTAAATTTTTAATTACCTTAGGAGTGATATCTCTCTTTTTTTTTTAATTGCATTTTAGGTTTTGGGGTACATGTGCAGAACATGCAAGATAATTGCATAGGAATGATATTTCTATGATGTTTAGTTGGTCTATGCAATTATCCTTCTTTTTTTTTTTTCTGAGATGGAGTCTCTGTCACCCAGGCTGGAGTGCAGTGGCGCGATCTTGGCTCACTGCAACCTCCGCCTCCCGGGCTCAAGTGATTCTCCCACCTTAGCCTCCCAAATGGCTGGAACTATAGGAACACACCACTATGCTCGGCTCATTTTTGTATATATATTTTTTTTCAGTAGAGACAGGGTTTCACCATGCTGGCCAGGCTGGTCTCAAATTCCTGACCTCAGGTGATCCACCTGCCTTGGCGTCCCAAAGTGCTGGGATAATAGGCATGAGCCACCGCGTCCAGCCAGCAATTATACATTTTTAAGTGTATTTTTGTGTCTTTGTGGACTGTCTAACTAGCTTTTTAATTTACTACTTTCTTATATTCTAGGAAGCATGGGAATAGGGACAGACAGAAAGGTACAAAATAAAAATATCCATACCTGCAGATGCCTGTGCCTGGGTATCAGTGTGGCGCTGGCAGACTCTACTCAAGAATTCACTCACTTGACGTAGGGAAAGGGCATTATGCAGTGTTTCCAGAGGGTAGATGGTAGGCACCATGGAACACCCTTCAAATCCTGTTTGAAAAGAGATGGGCAAAGTCAATGTTATTCCTGCCAGATATATCCCAACTGGCCAAGGAAGTATGGAGAGTCCCTGAGAGCCATCAGGAGAGTCCGTGGCTTTTGGAGTGTGGGGTATCCAAGACTCTTAGGAGAGGGAACTCTTTAGAGCCCCTAGGGGAGTCTGTTTTTCTCACCTCCAGATTTCCTAAAACATCTACCTGCTAAGGTCTCCAGGTGAATCAAATCACCTCTCATCCTATCTATGGAGAGCCTGCAATGTTCCATGGAAAAATCAACAGAATCCCAGTAGGGTAAGCACCAACATTGCTCTCATACTTTCTGGAGGAATAAAACAAGGATCCAGAGATAAGGAATGAAACTGCAGATCTAACATGAGATAGGGAGCTGGGAAGAAACAGCAGATTTCGGATATCAGGAATAAGAGAACCAGATTAAGGAGAAGGACATGAAATCTGAGAAGGGGTTCATGCAAATTTAGGATATGGATAGAAAGGCTAGAATACTTGGATGCAAACTGGAGGACATGCAATACACATGAAGCTCAGCCCAGGAAAACCACATGCATGAACAGGATGGGGATGGAAGTTCTTTCTTGGTAATTTCCATCACAGCAAAGCTTCACCCTTCTGATCTACTAGAAAACCCCAGACTTGCTAGGATCTTTCTGCTGATTCTCTGCTCTAAACCCAAGAATTCCAATGTAGGTCTATCAATCTGGGTAGGGTCAAGGGTAAACATAAATATGTAACCTGAATACTAGGGACTGGTGATGGAAAAAAATGTCCCCATTGGAGGATCAAGAAACACACATTCCAACCACTTTCTCAGTCCCCAATCTTTCCTATGCCTCCTCAACATCTCGTTAAAGGGACTAAGGGTAGGTGGGACAACAATGTCTATGCAAGATAGCCTCCTGTTGACCAGTGACTAAAACCCATAACTCAAAAGGATTATACTTGACCATCTTCTAACTTCAGGCCTTTGTTTGCCCCAAGGATATAATTGAGGCCTCTGTGCCTCAATTTCCTCTGAGATCTAGTGGGAGGAGGACAGGAGAGATACTGTCTCTAGCTCTTCAGGGTGGCTAGAAAAACATTTGGACTTGAAGATGGTGGTAGTAGAGGGTTAGAGTGGTAAGAACAGATTCCAAGGCAAGAGATTACTCTTGTATTGAACAGAATTGGGGAATGAGTAACATTAGGGAGTGGTGAGAAAGGAGACTAGGAAGGGGATGAGCAGCCAATGCTACAGCTACCAGGCAGTCCAGCCCCAATCCCATCCAAGCAACTAAATGCAAATTACATAACCTTAAGGCAAATAGGAGAAAGAAACAGGTGGGCTCTCCTGCCAGAAGTGCAATAAGCAAAGCAGTCAGTCCCAGCCAGGGTAGTGGCAGCAGCCAGCTTGGTGGCAGGGGGTACCGTAGAGGCACTCGGGGTCATCCTGGCCTGAGCGCAGCCAGTTCCGGAAGAGGCGCAGGTGGTAGGAGCACTGGTGCAGGTGATGCGCCAGCGTGGCATCCAAGGAGACTGGCCGGCCCCCTGTACAGTCAGAGGAAAAACTGCGCAGCAACCGGACCACAGGGTGCTGGTCATCCAGCAGCTCTGGAGGGGGTGAGGGGACCACGGCAGGAAGCACAAAGATAGAGAAAGAGAAGAGGGAGAGACAATGAGGGGGGCACTGACTAGCACAAGCATTACTGGGAGGTGGGGGCACTCAGATCCAAGGTGAGCTAGGATAGAAGCAGATGGTCAGAGCCACTGGGCATCTCTTGCAGGGAAGAAGAGTAGTGTCATCACACAATGAGTCTCAAAGAGGGGATAAGTGAGACCTCATCATATAGCAATGCCCTCCCCTTCCTCCTTGAGCATAATTTAGTCAGTGCTTGTAGACAGCAGTCACATCATTGTGGACGGGGTGAGCTGGCAGTTGTGTGGCTGGGAGCCTTGACTACAGCTTCAGGATCCCTCATCATTGGATAAACCCTACTTAGGGCCTGCATTCTCAAGGTGAATGGATTTATGAAGTAGGGATAAAAATGAAAAAGTTCAAAGTCACTCAGAGAAGAGTGTCAAGAATAATATTGGGTATCAAGATAGTCAAGCTAAGAAAAAAGAAAGAAAGAAAGAAAAAAAAGATAGTCAAGCTAAAAACGCTCTTTTTAAGGGCAGGCCTTCTGGACCAGACTCTAGGATAGCCAAAGACAGGAATGGTATTAGGCAGATAGTACAGGAGACTGGCAGGAAACCAGGTGTAGAACTCCTTTAAAAGGGTACATGTAAAAAAATGGAATCAATATGTGAAAATACCAACATTGACTAACCATCCTTTACCTTACTCTTGTTTAAACAATTAGTTTTTTAAAAGTATACATAAAACTTAGGAGATACAGTATCCATTACAGAAGCTGATGAACAGAAAGTTAGATAATTTTATTTTCTTCCCACTGCTGGTGAGTCTAACTGTACTTTTTTCAGCTGTTAAGTGAAAAAGCTTTGATTCTGAACCCCTCATTTTAGCTACTTGGCAAACTTCGTGGAAGCATGTAATTCAGCTACAAAAGGTTGAAGGCAGTCAAAGCCATGTGGAGAGGGCTATAAGATGAACAATAGGGAAAGATCTTACAGAAAAGGTATGGGATCTTAAAACATGATATGAGGATGGACAAGAACTTGAGTACAGGATGTTGATATAGAGAAGGTAGAATCAAGGCAGCTGGGGATGACTGCTCCAAACTCCAGAAGTGGCTTCACAAGGTGATCCCATGTGGTCGTGAGAGACCTTAGCTTGGATGTCAGAAGAGACTTCAGCTGTACCTAAGCTAGTCTTGTGGGCACTAACTGTATGTAACAATGGTCGCATAGTTATATGGGTTCCTAAAAGATAATGGGCTTGACAAATCTACTGGGCACACACTAACATTCTGGATGAGGGTGAGCCACAGTCTTTCCCACTTTGTTAATTTACTTTGGTGAGTTCAATGTGCAGTTTAGCGCACAACAGGCTATACTGGAATGCTGGATATAGTTACAGCTCATCAGAACAGAGGCAGGGATAGGAGGAGGGCTGCTCTCTCATCAAAGTGTGGAGACACACTGCCTTGCCTCCTTTCTAAAGCCAGGTCCAGTATTTCCAGCTGCTGTTTCAAAGCCAAATATCATGGCAAGGAGATGGTGATGATGGACCCACTTGACTAATCTGCCAAAAGCAACTACAGACAAAACATCCACTTTATAATTGCTGGTCAGTCAAGCAAGATGTTGGCCATGGAGGAGTGCCTTCATATTTCTTGAGGGTCAAACTGAATCTAGATAATCTTCCTCAGCAAGTGACATACAACTCCAAATTTCTCCTGTTGTCAACAGGTAGAGCCCAGATTCTTGCTTCTTAACCATGTTAGCCTCCAAACTCCAGCACAAGAAAAACAAAGGAGGCCAGAAGACCCCTGAGGAAGTGTGCAGGATACTGGAGATCTTAAATTTGTTTTCCTGCACAATACCTGCATTTTCCTCTCCTGCTTTTGGAGGAGTTAATTTTTTCTTTCCTCCTTTTGGCAGAATTAATTCTTCTTCAACAGGTAAGGCTGCTAAACAAGGCTTCAGGGAACTGGAGATGTACAGGTCTGAAGATCTGTTTTATGGATTTGGGTCTTTTCTTATGGCACCTAAGAACTAGGAGATATGTGATTTGCTCTGATTTCAGGAGCCTATGTTCCTCGTACTATACTGTGGACTCTAAGTCCAAGTTCCAGGCTGTGCTACTGATGCATCAGGTCATATTCTGGAGATGGCTGTGGCACATGAAGGCCAAAAGAGCTTGAAGCTAAATGAACAGGCACACCCATGATGCTCTGAATGGGGACTCCTGCCACAGGCACAAATGGGAGCCTGGGGGCAGAAATAAACTGAGTCAGCATAGACTGGTCAACCTAGGGAGAGATTTGAGCAGTGCCTTATGAAGATGTACAACCTGACTGGGCTAAAATCTAGCAGCTGCCGCTTGCTAGACAATAGGGGATTAGCACAAAGAGATTTTCTAGTCAGGAAGCCAGCCTAATTTTACTTCCCTCAGAGAGTCTTAGCTCTTGAATAGAAGAAAACCATATCTAAAAAAAAAAAAAAAAACCCTAGATTTGCCTTGAAGACAAAGTACAATACAGAGAGAAAACAACTAAGAATACCAAGGATGAAACTTTGAAAAAGAGTGAGACTGGGTTCTCCTGCTATACCCTACAAAGTGACCATACCCTCAGTTCATGCTTTATAGAGATCTCCAAACTCTCCCACCTTAGTGTGGGCAGACCCAGTTCTTCAATGTTCTTAAAATATTATTCATTCCTAAGCTCCCCCAGCATCCCCAGCAGACATCTCAACTCTTCAAGCTTCTCTGCAATAGCTTTACCATAGGTAGGCTGGTGCCACATGGAAACTACATTTAAAAAACTCAAGGTACAGTCCTTTTTCTTTTACCTACTACCTCCTACTTCTTTCTTTTTATTCTTGTATCCCAAAGCAACCTGGGCTCTTGTTTTTAGGCCCAGGCACTAGGTTAGTAGTAACATAAAGCAAATGTCAGGAGCACAAGAGCCACATAAAATGCACACAATGGCAGGAGAAAGAAATATGGAGACGGGAAACTATATACTCAGACCAACACCCTTATAAGTAGGCTTAGGAGCTGGGAATTGCAGCATTGCTCCAAAGAGGAACAAACTAGTCATCCACATCCACCCCAACAGAACAGTTGGAGAAAAACCAGAAAGATCAAAATTATATAAGCTAAGGAGTTAGGGGTATGAGGGAAGAAAAGAAACGGAATCAATCTAGGAAACACTATTTCCATCCTAAGAAGGGGAACCATCATATCTGTACACAGCCTGGCAGTCATGTGATAGGAAAGGGAGAGGTTTAATCAGTGTTTTGGTGGTGATGCTGACAAAAGTGACATAATGGTGATGATGGTGATTATGGAAGTAAGACCCTGAGTTGCCACAGGGATGCGGCAGCCAGGCTACAGCCAAGACTAAGGCTGTCACAAGGAAACCATCCCAGGAGGGACACTTAGTGAGTGGCTCATTCCGAGACAGCAGGGTGTCAACACAGTGGAAGGAGAGGCAAAGTCAGTGTCAAAACTCAGTTAATTGTCTACAGGTGACATGGTGAGGAGGAATGACATTGAGTCAGAAGCAAACGTACCGTTAGTCGGATGCTTTGCAAACGACACAGAAAATCGTTTTACGGCCGGGACAAACAAGAGCTCTGGGGAGAAAAGACATCATGGGGATTATACCCACCCTTGTCCCCACCCTCTGCTCTGGAGTTTGCCCGCAAGATATTCTGTTCTTTAAAGTTATTTATCTGATCTGCTTCCCTCCCCACCCCTTGGATTTCTAACTAACATGTCAATCTCTTTTCCTTTGGTAATCTCCTAGGAATCTATGTGTCACCTCTACCACAATACACTTCTACAAACAACCCTAATTTTACCACTATGTCCTCTTTCTGGTCATTCAGAAATAAAATCTTCATAGAAATATTCATCCCTTCCCCCAGACTCTTTCCATATTATCTCTTCTGCCTTAGCTGAGCAATATTCCCTTCCCTAAACCCAATGTGCTGGTTATAATCAAGGTTCCACTACATTCTTCCTAACCATGCATTATCCTCTTTGGTCCTTACCCCTACAGGCCAGAATCCAGGAAAGAGTACAAACTGATGCAGCAGGACTGTATGTAGGAGATTATGAAGGGATAAGCATAAATAAGTAGTATTTTTATGGCAAGAGGGAATGGAAATGGAGGGGTGGAAGGGGTCCTGGTTCCTTCTCTCATCTACTACTGATGAAGAAAACTTGTTATAAGGTCAGTGTCATCTTTAAGCATGAATAGTTCTTGAGCTACATCCTTGCTGAGAGACAAGTGAAGAAAGGAGTTATCCCCCAAAACCCACCCACATACCATCTCGGTGCTTCAGACTGGCAGGTGGTAGCTTTTTGCCATGGCTGCGGGCGTAGTCCTGAAGATTCGGGGCGCTGGAGGAGCCACCCAGCACTGTGGTGCTGAACAGCCCTGTGCACTGTGAGCCTGCAAGGCCGGGAGGGCATTAGTAGCCACATAAAGCTGCAACTATCATACAGAAGTATACACAACTTCACATGATAACATCAAGACACACACACAGCCATTCACAGCCACCACCATGTGGCTATTCCACATAACCACAAATGGCTTTACCCTTGTCCATAGTCATAGTGGGCAAGCAAAAGGGGGATTCTTCTGAAGAGCTACATGGCAGAGACAAGAGGCCACTACAAATGCAGGGTTAGTCATATTAGGGGATTCAAAGCTACTGAAAGGAATAGACTGCTCTCCAGGTGGCTCTCAGAAATGTTAAAACAATAGGTCCCTCTAGATTCCTCCTAGATTTAATTCAGCACCCCTTACCCGGGATATATGGCCTGAGAAACCCAGAAATCTAGTCCTTGTAGATTTGAAAGGAAAAGGCTTTGACTGAAACTAGAGACTGGGTTCTGAGCACTCACCTGGCCCTTCCAATCCTTCCTAAGTTATTCATCCAACATCCCCTCCCTTCAGTCCTTTTTACCTTTCCCAAGAATGAAAGTATAAGAATCACAATTTTTTTTTTTTTAAGACAGAGTCTCACTCTGTTGCCCAGGCTGGAGTGTAGTAGCACAATCATAGCTCATTGCAACCTTGGTCTCCCAGGCTCAAGTGATCCTCTCACCTCAGCCTCCCAAGTAGCTTGGATCACGAGTACACACCACCATGCCTGGACAATTTTTTTTATTTTTAGAAGAAACGAGGTCTCACTATGTTGCCCAGATTGGTCTCTAACTCCTGAGTTCAAGTGATCCTCCCACCTTGGCCTCCCATAGTGCTGGGATTATAGGTGTGAGCCACAGCCCCCTACCTCATTGAAATTTTTAAGCTAGAAGGGACTCAGATCATGCAGTCCAATTTTCTTATTTTAGAGATGAAGAAACTGAGATTCAAAAGGGACCTCCTTTGCTCAAGGTCACACAGTCTGTTAGAGGCTAAGCTGGAGTAGAATCCAGGTTTCCTGACTCTGAGGACCAACTGTATTATTAGAAAGTAAATAACTATTTTTTAGGAACCAGCACAGTCTCTGAAGTCAAGATGGATGCAAATTGAAGGGCATGTGAAGAGTAAGTTGATTATATGTAGGGCATGCCTATTATGTGATTGGCACCTACTAAGAAGGAATACAGGAAACAACAACAAAAAGACATGTTTCTTCTGCTTACCATCTTGTAAGCCTATGGTCAAAGCCAGTTCTCCACATATATAAATTCAAAGAAATCAAAAAGAACTCCATTGCCAAAGAAAGGATTAAATAAAATCTGAATAATCTCTGAAGGAAATAAATCATACCAGTCACTGTCCCCAACAGCTGATCTAGAGGAGGGTTAGGACTCCATGGTCCCTTTTCCTACTACAGCCTATAAGGACAGAGTGGTCAAGAATAAAGAATAAACAAGACTGACAACCAGGTTCTTTGGATTTGCCCCTCTACTTCCAAATCCATTTTAGCCAAGACCCTGGGTTTGGTTTGGGACTTAACATTCATAGGGGAAATGAACAGAATGGAGAGGAGGTCAATTCTCCTTGAGACCACAAAGAAAGGACCATGGTTTCAGGGTACCAGGATTTCAGGGTCACCAGAGCAATCAGAAAGTTCAGATGGCTGATGATTTCCACACTGGAATTCAGGTCCTCTCCTCTATAAAGCAACCTCCTCTACTTTTCCTGCTCAAACAAGCTCTGGAATGAGATTCCAGAGAGTAATAACAGTTGCTAAATATGACTACTTTTCTTCAGAGAAGCTAAAACTAGCTGGCTGTATCCCAGACCACCCCAAGCTTTGTCCTACATACACTTCCTCCACTGAATACTTTTCTGGTACAGTCGTGCCAACTCTGTTCTGCCCAGTCCTCAGATCATCTCAGAGGGTGGTCTCTACCTTACCACTACCATCTGTCAACCAGTTCCATGTCCATACTTTTGCCTTGTTCTTGAAAGCATTCCCATGGCCCACTTAACTGGGCCAGACACACCTATCCTCATTTCTAGTCTATTTGATACCTAGACACACCTATCCTTATTTCTTCTCCCCCCCACAGACGGAGTTTCGCACTTGTTACCCAGGCTGGAGTGCAATGGCACGATCTTGGCTCACCACAACCTCTGCCTCCTGGGTTCAGGCAATTCTCCTGCCTCAGCCTCCTGAGTAGCTGGGATTACAGGCACGCGCCACCATGCCCAGCTAATTTTTTGTATTTTTAGTAGAGACGGGGTCTCATCATGTTGACCAGGATGGTCTTGATCTCTTGACCTTGTGATCCACCCGCCTCAGCCTCCCAAAGTGCTGGGATTACAGACTTGAGCCACTGCGCCCGGCCCTCATTTCTAGTCTATCTGAAACCTATTCTTTCTGGGACTTCTGGGAAGAGAGGTCCATGTCACAGATCTACACTAATTTTTTTTTTTTTTTGAGGCAGAGTCTCACTCTGTCACCCAGGCTGGAATACAGTGGTGCAATCTCAGCTCACTGCAACCTCCATCTTCTGGGTTTAAGCAATTCTCATGCCTCAACCTCCCACGTAGCTGGGATTATAAGGCATGTACCACCATGTTGGCCAATTTTTGTATTTTTAGTAGAGATGGGGTTTCACCATGTTGGCCATGCTAGTCTCGAACTCCTGACTTCACTCAAGTGATCTGCCTGCCTCGGCCTCCCAAAGTGCTGGGATTATAGGTGTGAGCCACTGTGCCTGGCCAGATCTACACATTTGTCATTTATTTCTCATGACCCAAACCATCTTCCTCATTTCAGGTATCTAGAAGGCAACTTATTCTCATAAAATTAGCCTGGGAAGTTAATAAAACCTCTCTTCCCCTTGCTGGTCCAAAACCTGATCATTTTAGGGCCAAGAAATTGGGTCTCAAGGACAAAGGCAACAGAAAAATTAGAGGTGCTAAATAGAATAATAGGACAAGATAGAAAGAGCCAGGGGACCAGGTCCAGACCCCACGCAATCATCTCTGACCTCCAGTTCTAGTTACTGGCTCACAAGGCACTGTGCTCAGAGATAGCTCCTCCCAAGGACCGCCCCCCTCCATCCAAAGAATACAATACCCTCTGAGGCTTGGTCCTTCCTGCTGTCTGTGTTCTTATCAAATGCTGAATGATGTTCTCTAGCCCTTTCCAGGGATCAAAAAACCAAGAGATATTTCCTCAAAGTCCCGAGAGATGCCTCTGCCACTACACCAGTCTCAGAAGGAAGGGGAAAAAGTTACAGGATTAGGAGATGATGGAGGAAAGGACAAGATGGTAGGAAGGGCAAGAGCAGGGATGTGAAAAACACAGGTTTCAGGGGAAGACATGGCACAATTCTTCAAATGAGGAATATGATATTTAGGAAGGTCGCAAGTACCTCTGTTTATAGCTCTGTCCCTGATAACTCTGAAGGTTCAGAGTCTCCATGGCCCCTTAAGGTCTGGGCTAGACTGGAGGGACAGATAAGAAACGAGAGGGAAAGGCAAAAAAATGCCCTTTGACCAGGAAAAGGTCGTTGGTATAGAAAACCAAGAGAAAAACACCTTCCTGGGATGAAACAATTATCTGAGATCCAAGTTCACATCTAACTATGGATGATTCCACTTCATCCTCCCTATCTCCCCCACCCCGATATTCCACTGAATTGATGGTCCCAAATCCCATGACAAAGTTTTCCCACAATAAAACTCTGAAGAATAGACAATAATTTTTCTAAAAATAGGTGAGAAATGCTGGAAAAAACCATACCTAGGCCACTCTGCTTCATTTCTGTGGGTGGCCGTGAAGCTGAAAAGAGCCGGTAGCCACCAGGCCTTGAGGATGAAGTCTCAGAAAGTACCTGCAGAAAAAGGACTCTATATTAATATTTTGCCACCTCAACCCAGAAGTATAAAGCCCAGGTCCTGAAGTCTTGCCCCTACAAAGCCAAGCAATGTCAGAAAGTTTGGAAGAACCAAAGGATTTATAGGGGAAGAGGGATGAAAAGGGAATAGAGAATATACTTTATGGAGGGACTATCCAGGGAATCCTTCTATGCTAGAAAACACTTCTATTTTCAAGATACCTGTCCCCACAGCCCTCCTATTCCCAATCTGAGTTTGAGAAATAATTATTCAACCATTCCTACTTCTCAGTAGAGTGGAGTTTCCTAATTGTGTCTATCTCCCAACCAGACTCAGAAAGCCAATCACAATGACTCAGCCACAAATAAGAAAGTCTGGCCACCCTCTCTTCTTTCTATGGGACAGTTGTGGCTACTGTAACCATACTACATACTATACTACATTTCTTATTTGAACCAAGAAGGAAGCCCTCCCCTCCAACTATCTCACTCCTAGAAACATCAAACAGAATTCTTAAAATGCCCACAAGGGCCCAATCACACAACCCCCAACACACACTCATCCCACCTAGATAGTGTCTGAGTTTCTAGATCCCAAAAGGCAAAGACAGAAGGCAAAACAGGAAGGTGAGGTAGGGAGAGACACCTGTGTGCAGGACGCCAGGTGAGTGGTGGACACAGCCCAGGGCTGTAGGCCGATGGCTGGGGAAGGCCAGGGGAGGTCTCCTGACCTCCTGCGGCACCGTCCCCGCAAGGGGATCAGGTCCAGGTTCCCCGTGCACTGCATGTTTATGACCTGCAATCAGACCGGGTGGAAAGCCGGTCACGGCTCCTTTAAACCCCAGGCTCCCAAAAGCCCCAGTGCCTATAGGGCAGAGCTAATTACAGGGCTAAAGAGGATGACCAGCTAGGGCATAGACACTATGAAGGTCATAGGTTTTATAATCTAAAATAGTCAAAAAATATGAGATGACAAGAGGAAAAGAGGGGATGGGGAAAGGATGTAGCTGATAAAGATAAGACGGCCCAATGCCTACATTTATAGAGCAAGAAAGAGAAATATTAATATTAGCACTATAAGGCTTTGTAACCAAGGAGCAGGGAAATGATTTTATTAAAAAGCTGAGAAAATATCCTGGACAACTGCCACCCTGGATAAGCCAAAGTCTAAGCAGCACTAGTAACTGAAAAGAAGGAATGTGATTACAATAGGAAAATTCCTATAGACCTAAAAGAAAGAAGTCAATCTTATCAAGTCTGAGAGATAATGCACAGAGAGCTTTCCTTTGCCTGTGCCTTCCTTTTTTAAATTTTAAAAAAAATTTTGGCCGGCACGGTGGCTCAAGCCTGTAATCCCAGCAGTTTGGGAGGCCTAGGCGGGTGGATCACGAGGTCAAGAGATCGAAACCATCCTGGTCAGCACAGTGAAACCCCGTCTCTACTAAAAATACAAAAAATTAGCTGGGCATGGTGGCGCATGCCTGCAGTCCCAGCTACTCGAGAGGCTGAGGCAGGAGAATTGTCTGAACCTGGGAGGTGGAGGTCGCGCCATTGCACTCCAGCCTGGGTAACAAAAGCAAAACTCTGTCTCAAAAAAAAAAAAAATTTTTGTAGAGACAGGATCTTGCCTAGGCTGGTTTCGAACTCTTGGCCTCCTCCCTCTTAGGCCTCCTAAAGTGTTGGGATTACAGGTGTGATCCACCATACCCAGCAGCCTATGTCTTATGACTGCATACACCAGAAAAAGGGGCTTCAAGCACAATAGCCCTGGGAGAGACTAGCAGACCATATGAATAGGAAAGACATTTGGAGGAGCAGTTTACTGATGAAAAATTATGTGTCATTCTATCCATATGAGTATATGAGTATAAAGGGTAATAGAGTACTACAGATACCAACTTTTACCTACACCACAAGGAGAAAATAATGCATATCCTACCTAAAGAAACTCTGCATATTACCAATGTCAATTCCACCTTAAAATAATCCAGAAGTAAAGAGTGAATCAAAAGAAGAGACTGCACTTTATCTTCTCAGCTTTCTCCAAAATCTGAATTGCAAACCTTTTGCTGAACTAGATAAGCTAGTTATAGATTGTTCTGATATATCACTAAAATGGAAAAACCAATTCCTCTAAGATAGAGACCTGGCACAGAGCCAGGTGATCAGAATCATCAGGTCAGAGTAGAATCCAAATCAGACAGTCGAAGTCTCTGAAACAGGGATAAATTGTGGTGTCAAAAAGAATGAAAGTGATACAGAAGGCACTGGATAGGGGAAAAAAAGAAAGAATGTAATTGGGCCAAAGACAGAAACAGTTCTTCCAGGAAAAAGACCGAAACAAAAACTTCAGCTGGTTAGCTGGACACAATATGAGATTAATAACACTTCCTTCCTCTAAGCTAGAGAACTAGAACCAGAACTAGAGACAAACTCCAAAAACAACAAAACAAGGCCCATGCTGACAAAGATCCTCATTAGAACAAGAGGAAGATACAGAGCTCTAGACTGACCCTATTTCTGGAACAACAGTACAGATAAAGTGCCAGGTATTTGCTCCTCTCTGAGCTATAATGTTTACCCAAGATAACAACAGCTGGAGAGAGCCTATTTAATATCAATTGTATTGTTATTATATTACTGTTTGTTCAGCATCCATTAGGGCGATACCACTCACATTTTACAGGTAAAAAAAAATTGAGGTTGAGAGAAGTTAAGGCCAGAGAAGTGTAAAGAAGTTGCCCAGCCAAAGTTACACACTTCCAAGTATCAGACTGGGATTTTAGCCCAGAATTTATGCTGTTTCTACTAGATTTCCTAGGATGAATTTGAAAAGAACACCACCTTTTCAAATTCATCCAGAAGCCTCCTCTTTAATCTTATCTCTTTAAACCCTTATCTCTCAGGCACCCTTCAATGGCAACTCTTTAATCTGAGAAGTAGCAACCAGGTTAAAGAAGCTCTATTGGGAGACCAGCTGTGAAAGAGAGATTAAGTAAAACATCAATCAGAGCAGGAGGACTCTGCTTCAAGTCCCAAGAGTCCCCTCCAAGGGGATCTAGAGGATCCATGAATATAGTCCTATGAGTACTTTCACCCCTTCATTTATTCCCAAGGCCCTCTCATTACCTCCATGGAACCAGCTTTTCGGTTACGAATGAGGGGTGATCTCCTCGGGAGGCCAGGGCCCTCAGGAGGCTGGGGTGAAGTCTGCAATGCCCGGTCTGGCTCATCTGATGCCTTTCCTGGGCACAGGTTCTCCATACTGCCTTGGTTGGTTTTCATCTCCTCATTCTATACAATACAAAGGCAGATAAGAGAGGTGTTAATGATCTCCAGGCTCCTATTCCCAGACTACCCAACCCTTTTACTTCTCCCTGTACCGTTTCCCACCACTTGGTTCCTAAGTCCTTGAGTCCTAAATCCCAGCACGCTGACCCACCTCAGAAGACGCTGGACGGAATCCACAGCCAGCTGGGGCACTGCCTTCCTCCTCAACACCTTTCACTCCAGGGCTGAAGTGTAACTCCACATGGAACCGTTCCTCTGATAAGGGATCCTACGGGGGAAGGGGGGGGCATCACCACAAGAGGGGGAAGTTGGGAGAAGCTGGATATTGTGGTGGAAGTAGAGAGGAACTCAAGAGGATTCATCCTCCCAGGAATTCAGGGTCTTCAACTACTCTAGGGCTGAACTGTTATAGCTTCCTTTTAACTATGTATTATGTCTTACAGGATCCTCATTCCCTTATCTCTACCATTTGTGATTTTGCCATGGCATGTGACTTTTGAACTTCCAGCTTTACAACCCTTCCCATCACCTTCCACACAACTCAGCTTGGCTATGGTGCATATAGCAGAACACTTAAAGATATCTTATGGGCCAGGAGCAGTGGCTCATGTCTATAATTCTAACACTTTGAGAGGCTGGGGCAGGCGAATCACTTGAGTCCAGCAGTTAGAGACCAGCCTGGGCAACATGTTGAGACTCCATCTCTACAAAAAATACAAAAAATTAGCTGCACATGGCATATGCCTGTCATCTCAGCTATTCAGGAGGCTGCGGTGAGAGGATCACTTGAGCCCAGGAGGCAGAGGTTGTGAGGTTGCAGTGAGCTCAGACTGCTGCACTGCACTCCAGCCTGTGTGACGGAGTAAGACCTTGTCTCAAAAAAAAAAAACGTATCATTTGTGGAGCCATATGCAGAAGATATATGTATACCATGTTTGAGGAAATAAGACTCATAACATTGTCCCAAATTCCATACTCTTCCTAATGCCAGAGCTGTGTTCTAGGTTACCTCTCTGCTCAACACCATCCCAGAACATATTTTCCATTCCAGTAGGAACCTCCTGGATGCTCTCTGTCAGGCTGTTCCTAAGTGCCACACCGAGCTCAGTGCTCCAAATTATAAGGATAAGCGAGGTTTTGTTTTTTTTTAATAGAGGTAAAAGAAGGGGCATTCCTCTCATCTCCTCACCTGTGTGTTGTCCTCATAAAGCATGATGACAATCTGGGTCATGTAGTTAAGCTCTGAGATGGCACTAAGATAATCCAAAGCTCGCTGCCATTGTGCATCCTGGGTCTCCTACCAAATGCAAAAAGAAGTAAGCCATTGCTTAAGGTCAAGGGAGTCAGGGAATAAGCAGGGGGCCAATGAGAATGGAGAAAGTTTTCATTAAAAAAGCATGAGGGGAAGAGCTAAACAATGCTGGGAAAAAGCTGTTCACAGGCAAAGGAAGAAAGAGGATCCTTACATCAAGAAGACCCCCATAACGGAAGACACTGAGTAGGGAGTGGACGTGGCTCTCACTGGTGAAATAGAGACGTGTTCGAACATGGCGACCTGGGGAGAGCACACCTCGGGAGTACCTGAGATAATAGTTAAATCACTCACAAAGTCAGTTAACCCTTTTCCCACCCTTCTGCAAACTCCCTCCTCCCACCTCAAAGACTTCTCTCCTTTCCATCCCAAAATCTTGTCTATTCTTGGTTCCCCAAGCTATCCCAGCCTTGATTTTCCCAGGGCTCCCTGACATGCCCCTCCCTCCATCCAGCACCCCTCCCAGTCCTCCCTCACAGGGGATGCAGCTTGTTGACAGACTCATCCTCATGGGTTCTCTGCAGGTCAAGTAGTATCTTCCGCAACAGGGGAAGACAGAAGCCCACAGCAATTTCCAGTTTCTCTTCCCGACTGATCCCGTACTCCTAGGAGCCATAGGCCAGGAATAAATACCTCAGTAAATCTTGTTTTCTCATGCCTCATATTCCCAGGACCAAGATAATGCCTGCCATCACCTCAGGTCTAGGGCTTCTTTCATATCCACTATATTTCCCCTCTTCCAGGTGTCTCCTGAATTAGCCACCTGTACTTACCAAGAGCCAGAGTGGACCCTGAGAAATGTAGCAACTCAACTTATTCCTTCTCTAAGTTTCTTTCCTCTAGTCCCAAATCAACCTTCCTTTCCACTTTTTCTCTCTCTTTCCCCAACACCCTCATCCCCAGGTTACGTCCCTTATACAAGACACACCTGGGGAATGACCACATCAGCCAATGCCTTAGAGAGATGGAGCAACTCTGCTGTGCCTTGAAGTCCCAGATTCCCATTGTGCTGCACATCATACTTGACACAGTCATAGATGTCAGGGATCTTACTGATATCATAGCGCCCACTCTTCTGTCGAAAGTCACGCTCCAGCTTGCTCCAACGCTGTAGCATTAGTTCTAGTGTTTCACTGTGGTAGAGTTGCAGGTCTGGAAGAAAGGAAGCAATCAGATAAGAGTCAAAGATTTTATCTCAAACAAAAGACCCTGACAACTCTAAAGCAGAACCAGAGGGATGAGGAAGCCTGGTCTCCAACATTTAGGAGATGACACAAGAATGCCTGAGAAACCCACCCACACCTGAGACCTTGAAGGGAAGAGAGTAGTATTCACACCCACCTACAGACCTGGGGTCCTGCATTCGTTCTCGGATCTGGTGTGTGAGGTTTTCAATCAGGGCAAATACCTGATCACAGACCTTCACAGGATTCTGTATGATAGTCATGGAGTTGAGCAGGGAAGTACTTCTGGTGGGAGCCAGCTATGAAGAATAGAGAGAAGAAAAGCAAGATAGGCTCAGCACTAATTGCCCAGATTTCCTGTGAGTATATTCCACAGAGACTACATGCAATACAGATCTGTATGTTAATTCACTCCAGTGAGCATTCTTAGGTTACTAGGCATACTAGCAGTTCTAGGCCTTCAGGTAAGGGGGCTGCTCTAGCACATAGTCATGTAAGAGGGATTGAATTAAAAGGTCCAGAGAAAATAAAATAGTCCTAAATTCTTTTCTTGAGGGCTCTACAATACACATGGAAAATACTGTAGAATGATTAAACCAAAATCCCCACAGAATGTTTTCATGAGTAGAGATCAAAGATAACATTATCTTCTTCCTCTAAACAACACGCTAGCCTGAGCCTAGAGTAGAAATGCTGTCTCAGAACTGGGTCCCAACTCAGGTTTTTAGGACAGTCACAATCAATGAGAAATGGGGAGAGAGAATAAAGATTGTGGCTGAAATGCACAATTCTCTGTAGGTCCTTGCAAGTTTCATTTTTACTCACAAAAGAAGGCAAGGCAGAAAAGGAAAATTGCCTTAGCTTTTTTGAGTTTGACAGTGAGCAATGGATTAGAAAATAAAGGAGCAAAGTCCTGTTCCTTATCAAGTCCTACTCAGACTTGAAAATGGAAGGGAAACACAGAAACACAGAAATGCTATGGGCTCATAGTAATGTGCTTAGCTACTTAGCTCATTTAAGAACCAATCAGAAATATTACACAACAATGTAAATGCATGTAATGCTACTGAACTGTACACTTAAAAATGGTTAAAGTGGTACCACAATTTTAAATTTTTGAACATTTTATAAAAGAACCTATCAGAAATGAGGAGTGGGAAGAGTAGAAAACCACTGCCTGGTCAATTGTAGCCAGAATACACAGGAAAAAGAATGACCATATTGGGTAACGGCATATATATACTGTAAGGCAATGTAACAGCCTAGGCTTTGGAGTTAGACTCCTTGGGTTCATATTAGCCGGATGACTTAGGAAGATTGCTTAGATTCTTCTGAGTCTAGGTTTCCTCATTTGTAAAATGGAAGGAAAGTCCTTGTGGTCTGCAGTCCTCATAGTGGTTTAAAGATGACCATCAAGTCTTTGTCTTCCTTGCCTTCCCTTAAATCTGGCTGGCCCTGTGACTGCTTAACCAATAAAAAAATAACAAAGTTACATTGCACTAATTCTGGGCCTACACTTTAAGAAAGTTTCTAAGCTTCTGTTTTGCATATCCCTAAAGCTACCATTTAATATGTCGTCCAGCTATCATGCTATAGAAACCATATGAAGAACCATGTGGAGAGGAGAGGCACTGCGATAACAGGGAGAGCATAAGAGGGAGAGAGCCAGCCATCCCACAATCCCAGCTGAACTTCCAGATGGTTCCAGCTCTAGTCAATATCTAACTGCAATTTCAGGAGAGACTCCAAGCAAGATCAGCTGAGCCCAGAACTGTGAGAGATAATAAAATGGTTGTTGTTTTAGGTTACTATGTTTTGGGGGAGTTTCTTATGCAACAATGGATAACCGTAACTTTTTTTGTTCAAGATCCTTGGGATCAGCTGTGCTTTGGAATTGAGAATTTTTTGGACTTTAGAATACAGTACATATGCCATATGTATATAATATCTCCATCAGGGCCTATGGCATAACCAAACACATTAATATTTCTGCCACAAAATACATGACTATTTACACTAAGTGGGAAAAATCAGGATTATAAAAATCTTATGACAGACTTTGTCGGGTTTAGCCGCCAAATTAATCTTAATGTCAACAAAAAAATCTTTTTAATTTTTAAAATTGTGCATTAGAGATTGTGGACCTGTACTTACCTCAAATGGCTACTGTAAGGACTAAATGAGATAAATGTGTAAAACAACTAAAACAGTGCCTGGCATGCAGTAAATACTATTATTATTGATCTTGATCCCTACTATATAGAATTTGAGGAATTTGAGAACCAGGATATTTTAGACTGACCTGATCGTAGTCCTCAGGGCCAAAGGGTGCATCCTGCTGTAAAATATGGTGCAGCCGAGCCTTTACCCGGTACTGGCAGCTGCTCAAGGAATCCCCATCGCTGTCCAGGAGCCCATTCATGTTGGCACTCTTCACCATTTGTACCAAAATGGGTGTCAGCTCCCCTTCTAGAGCCAGAAGGCCCTAAAGGGAAAGCACAAAGTCTATTTGTTTCCCTTCCAGGTTAGTATTCCTAGGCCTAGATGGTCCCAGAGATTGAATGGGAGCTGATTGAAGAGATAGGGCCTACCCTCACTAATTATTTTCAGCTCATTCTCAGTAGTACGGAATGGGTCTGATACATGCAGAAATTTCTCTGAGTTGGCCTACAAGCACCCTGAAATCCTCAACTGGTTCTCCAAACTCTCTGCTTCTCTCCCTAATGGAAGCTGGGACTATAGCACTGTAGCATGCACCTTGGCAAAGGCAGCAGCAGTCATCTGGACACGACCCTCATCAGAGGCATAGATCTTGAGATCATGGCGGAAAGTGCTATGGAGACGAAGCAGCCCACAACCAGGGAAGCCAGCATAGTCACCTGGGGACAAAGGGGAGGACCAGGAATGGACTGCTATAAATATTAATGTGGAAGAAAAAATACTAATTTCCCCACTGTCTCTGTCCCTTCATTTCCCCCAATTTACTCTCTAATAATTTTACACCAGCCCTGCTAAGTGTTTACTCCTCAAAACACTCACCCTGTCCTCCAGGATACATGCAGCGAAAAGCTCGCCCCAGCTCCTCAGCCTGAACACGACCAGCAGGAGTCAGTTCTCCACCCCACTTCAGTACCAGCAACAGAGATGGGGCCAGAGCCTCCCTTTGTGGATCTGAGGAATAAGAGGCAGTGAATGGTCTAGATCTAAGAAAAATAGTGCGAATATCTAAATGTTAGGTCTTCTGAGGAGACCAGAAAGGTAATTTAGGGTAGAGGTCATCTATAGGCTCAAGTAAAAGGGATCTGGTGAGGAGAGAAGATGGAAAAAAAAATGAAAAGATTTGAGAGGTAACGGTAAGGGGGACTATATCTTACCTTGTCCCTCATTAGAAGCTTTTACTCCATGAGGGTAGTAAGTCAATTGCACCTTCCGGTTTATACCTGAGAAGTGACCATACCTGCAGGATAAAGTCACAGTTGATTTTCTGTACCAGCACCCCAATTTTCACTGTTACTGGCTCCCTTTAGCTATCCCCTTTCTCACATCTCCAATACAGACTTCAGCTGCTCTAGTTTTCCAGTCTTCTCCTCGATCTCACCACCTGGTTCTTTCTCCAGTTCAGCCAACAACAGCCTTGTGATATCCAGTACCTCCTAGAGAAAATAATAAGGTATCCATGCAGAAGGCCAAATCCTGGACAGTTACCTTTTCATCTTAGTTTTTTATCAAGCCCCCCAATGCCATATCCTCTATCTCTCATAGCACTCCTCCTCCTGGCCAGATTCACTACTTTACCTGGAGCTGCTCAGGTCGCTTGAGTTTTAATTTCCCTGTCTTGTAGCCACCATGTTTTTCAAATAGAGCAAAAAATCTGAAGAAGTAATGAGAAGCTTCAGTGTGGGATGAGACAGTCAAAGCCTCTAGGAGTTGCCCGCCCCCCCATTCAATCTTTCTCACAAAAACCTATTTGTATAAATTAGGACACTCTTCCTACCTTGTGTGTGTCACTTCCATCTTCATCTTCTGCTTGGGAGTACGATCCCCATGACGAATAATTGCAATGACACAACGAAGTTCCATCCTAAGATCATAAATGTGATCAAAGCTTCTTCCATGCCCCCATCCAACTTCCTGTCATCACATTAGTTGACATGTCAAAAAACAGAGGGGCTGAGTAGGGTTCATGCCTGTGATCTCAACACTTGGGGATGCTGAGGTGGGAGGATCACTAAGGTCCAGGAGAAGCATAGGGTGAGTGTGAGCAACATAGGGTGAGCCTGTGTCTATAAAAAAGTTAAAAGAGAAAAAATTATCTAGGCATGGTGGCATATGCCTGTGGTCCCAGCTCTTCAGGAGGCTGAGGTGGGAGGATCACTTGAGCCCAGGAGGTACAGGTTGCAGTGAACCATGACTGAACACTGCACTCCAGCCTGGGAAACAGAGCCAGACCCTGTGGCAAAAACAAAACAAAACAAAACCAAAAACCAACCAAACAAAAAAAAAAAATAACAGAGGAAAAGGGAACTCAGATTAGGAATATATATGGGAGCTGGACATAGTGGTTCATGCCTGTAATCCCAGCACTTTGGAAGGCCGAGGTGAGTGGATCACTTCAGTCTGAGAGTTCAAGACCAGCCTGGTCACATGGTGAAACTGTCTCTGCTAAAAAGGCAAAAATTAGCCAGATGTACTCACCTGAACCCAGGAAGTGGAGGTTGCAGTGAGCTGAGATCATGCCACTGCACTCCAGCCTGGGCAACAGAGCAAGACTCTGTCTCAAAAAAAAAGGGAATATAAGTGGAGTTAAGAAGACTGAGCAGAAGAGACCCAGGCTCTGATGGTCAGATAGTATGGGGTCAGGAAGTAACCATTAGTCTGGCTTAAGGAATCCCATGTGTCTTTGGTAAGTTAATCCAGATTTTTTACTTTTGCTTACATAGTGCCAGATGTGGTAGGAACAATGGGAATGTCCTCAGCCTCTGTGGGAATGGACCACGGGATTTGGAACTGTGGGGCAAGCTCCCGCATTATGGTGTTCCTAGAAAGAGAAATGAAGAAGTCATGTGAAAATGAATAAACCAGAACTACTCATATGAATGAAGCTCACAAAAACAAGCAGACTGCAGGCAGAAGAATGTATTAATATAAAGTCTAAAAACATACAAATACTCATACATATGTAGTAAAAAATATAAACAAGTATATGGGAATGACAAACACCAAATTAAGGATTGTGGTTCCCTCTGGAGGTAGGGAGGCAATGTTATCAGGGAGGAGTATATAGGGTCTTCAACTATATATATATATATATATATATATATATATATATATATATATTTTTTTTTGAGATAAGAGTGTTGCTTTTGTGAACTGAAGTGCAATGGCATGATCTCAGTTCACTGCAAACTCCGCCTCCTGGGTTCAAGCGATTCTACTGCCTCAGCCTCCCAAGTAGCTAGCATTACACCACCACTCTGGCTAATTTTTTTTTTTTTTTTGAGACTGAGTCTTACTATTGTCACCCAGGCTGGAGTACAGTGGCACAATCTTGGCTCACTGCAACCTCCGCTTCCTGGGTTCAAGCGATTCTCCTGTATTAGTCTCCCAAGTAGCTGGGATTATAGGTGTCACCCAGCATGGCTGGCTAATTTTTTTTTTCTTTTTTAGTAGAGACAGGGTTTCACCATGTTGACCAGGCTGGAACTCCTGACCTCAGATGATCTGCCTGCCTTGGCCTCCCAAAGTGCTGGGATTATAGGTGGGAGCCACTACACCTGGCCAATTTTTTGTATTTTTAGTTGAAACAAGGTTTCACCATATTGGTCAGGCTGGTCTTGAACTCCTGACCTCAGGTGATCCACCCACCTCAGTCTCCCAAAGTGTTGGGATTACAGGAGTGAGCCACTGCACCTGGCCTATATTAATATTTTATTTCTTAAGCCAGGTGGTGAATACATAGATGCTCACTATAGTCATTCCTTATATATTTTTGAAAGGCTTAAACATTATGTAACAAAATTTTTAGAAAGTCAAGTTGCAGAGCAGTATTATAGTATGACCACATTTGGTAAAATAAATACAATTTGAATATGGCAGAAAAAGACAAATTGTTATGTCTAAAACTGTTAACAACAATGGTCTCTGGGGGGTCAGTGTTAGAAAGGCAAGGAGTCTAAGGAGCCCTTTGTCTTTTTCCTCTCGTATATTTTTTATATTTTATTTATTTATTTATTTATTTTTGAGATGGAATTTCGCTCTTGTCATCCAGGCTGGAGTGCAATGGTACGAACTCAGCTTACTGCAACCTCCACCTCCTGCATTCAAGCAATTCTCCTGCCGCAGCCTCCCTAGTAGCTAAGATTACAGGTATGTGCCACTATGCCTGGCTAATTTTGTATCTTTAGTAAAGAAGGGGTTTCACCATGTTGGCCAAGCTGGTCTCTAATGCCTGACCTCAAACGATCCACCCGCCTTGGCCTCCCAGTGTTGAGATTACAGGCATGAGCCATTGCGCCTGGCCTTTTTCACTTTTAAACCGTATTTATAATATTAAAAATAAAGCAAAAACTTTCATATATTCTTCTGCAAGCCCATTCTCCCCAGCATAGATCACCATGTCTCTTACCCCAGAATCTTGGCACAGTCATCATAGTATTTCATCGAGTTCTTGACAAAACTAAAGCCATTGACATCACACACAAAGGAATGACCATTGGCACGAAGAAGGTCAAATCCACAAACTGTTTGCTGAAAGGGAAAGCAGAAAGATGACGACAAGACAGTTACTCTTCCCAGACCCCTGTTCCTTCCTTTCTCCCTCATGTCACAACCTCCCTGGGTCCTCCTCTACCTTGAAAGCTACGCAGACTTTCCTGGCCACCAGCTTTTCCATGGCAGTCAGCATGACTGGATATCGAATCTCTTTCCCCTCACTGTCTCGTTCAACTTTCCCATCCAAAGCTGGAGATTTTCTAGCTTCAGCATGGGCATAATCTGGCCCCACTGTATACACCTGCAGGTACATAGCATCACTGAGTATGCCCACAGCTCACCCTGTATATGAGAAGACAATATGAGCACTGGTCTGTAGACTAGTTTCAGAGTAAAACAACAATAACAACAAAACAAACAAATCCTGAGCATTAAGAAGGAGACTGACCAACATTTTTTCTACTGAGCCCTAACTGAAGTATCATTATGAAGGTTTCTCCTCAGGACTCCTATACTGTCATCTAGTCCTTATTAAAAAACAATTTACTAACATTATGCCATTTTTCTAAGTCAGCCTCACCTATGCTCTGATAGTGAAATGTCTATATCCTCCACTCATTATCTTCACCTGAATATGAAAGCCAATCACATTCACATCATGTTATTTTCTAGGACCTCCTCCCCATATACTTCCACCTGCTTCCCATGTACCCCAATCCCCCACCCCCAGACATTTGTAACCTCTTAAATCCCTGTATCCACCATAACCTTGACATCTGTGCCATCTGTTGGCATAAACTCCTCATAGATGTATGACCCTGTCTTTCGGACGCTGCTCTCAGGAGAGTAAACACTGCTTCGGCTGCCAATCTTCAGGATAAAAAAGAAGAAAAAACAATGTTACCTCAATTCTTTATTCTGTCCCCAAATTCTCCATTCTCCATCTTCCTTCCCCACAACCTCATCCTTGCCCTTCTACCTCTCTGACTCCCCAGATGCTCAAATATCTCCCGTACCTTACGAAACAGACGCTGGCTTCCTCCTCCAGCTGAGCTGGGGTAGTAGATGTAAACATTGTGGTCTTCTGCACTCACTGGCTTCTCCACAAAGGGCTTGGGAAAGACAGCTCCATTGACCTCTACTTGGTCTTCCCCTTCTATTAGGTTGCATTCTGAAAGGTAGGTGTGTGGTCATTCTGATGACGCGAAGTTGTAGAATATTACTAATTGTCATTTCCCCAGGTTTTAATCTCTATAACCATCAAATTTTTATGATGATATCTTTGTAATAAATGAGGTAATATCTCTATATAACAGGTCCAAGGCTCTGTCCAAAGATTCATAGCTCTAACCCCACCCATAATCCAATAACCAAAGCCCCACATAGATAGGTAGTACATAGGAGATGTCCAGAAGATGAAAACGTGGCTAAGTCATAGAAAGCAAGAAAGGAAAGGACTAACCCTCCCTCGGGCCAGGTCCTTACCCTCAGGCCGGGCAGGATCACGGTTGAGCACAGCATATCGAGGCAGATCAATACCCTCTTCCTGCAGGATCCGGTACACCTCCCTCCTGCACCCCCAAATAAAATAGCTGGGAGAGGTGGGAGTAACTAAGGGGAGAGGCTGGGGATTTCATTTATACAAGGATTAAAAGACATCAAGGCACAAAATTATGGTACAAAAATTAAGCATGTTTGTTTGACTCGGTCCCTCCCAGAGTGGGTTCTCTAAACATGCATGATCCCAACACCACCCATCTTACTGGTCAACAGGAAGTTATACCTATCTTGGATGTAATACTGCATGGCCAGATCATTGATAAGAAAGGGGTTTCGAAGCTTGGAGTAAGCAACAGCTTTGTCCAGAGGAAAGCCTGGAATGGAGACAGGAAATAAAGTGAGTGAAAGAGAACGAGAAAAGAGCAAGAGAGACAGAAAAACATATTTAAGCTATTAGCTGCCACTGAGCTCCTCTACCCATTCAATCCATCATTTATTCTTCTGCCCAGCTCCCCAAGTCTAGAATATTCATCAAGAAAAAGTAAAACAGAAATTATATTTACAGTCCTTCCAGAGACCCAATTCTGTCAGAGATCCTAAGACACTAGAGTTGTCCTGAGGTTAGAATACAGGCTTTAAACCCCTGGCAACTCCTCCAAGATGTACGGAAAGCAAACTCCTTTGCACTGTTCTCTAGCGTGCCACTAGAAGCTGATGGCCAACAAGAACCTCACTTCCCAAACCAGTATTCCCACCACCACCACCATTCCTTCCCATTTTCCTTCCCAGACCCCAACCTTTGGAGTGGAAAGAGATGAGGCAGTGGCAGGATGGCCAGTTTTCCACAGGTTCATTAAGGATTACATCTTCTCCCAGAATGATAACAGTCAGGTAGTCAAATCTGCACAGTCGCTCTAGGATTTGAGTCATGGGCTTGGACTTGGATTTCTTGGTCATGGCACAGATGCCAACAATGATCTGAGGTTCAGGAGGCTACAGAGAGGAAGTGCTATCAGAAACTTAAGAACTTCCCACCAATATCACCCACTTCTGGGAACACCATCTTATCTCCTTAGGGCACAGAGGTTCTTGCCAGGACTCTGGACCTATGGGATAAAGGGTGCCTCCTAACTTTGCTCCAAGTTGGAGCATAGCTAAGGATTCTGACTGCCTACAGAATAGGAGCTTTTCCACAGTAGGAAATACATGCTCAAGTAGGAGAGCTAGAGAACCGACAACTATGAGACAACAGGAAGAGCCTAAGGGCAGAGGTTTCTTTTTCTTTTTCTTTTTTTTTGAGACAGAGTCTCACTCAGCCTCCCAAGTAGCTGGGATTATAGGCGCCCACCACCACACCCAGCTAATTTTTCTATTTTTAGTAGAGACAGGGTTTTCAGACTAGTTTTGAACTCCTGACCTCAAATGATCTGCCCGCCTCGGCCTCCCAAAGTGCTGGGATTACAGGTACGAGCCACCATGGCCAGCCAGGGCAGGGGTTTCTAAGAGAGGCAACCTAACCAATCTCTACTGCTCCTCCCCTAAACCAGGACAGGGCCTGTTTATGACAGGGAGTCTGTGCAGTTGGAAAGAACAGAGAGGTATCTCCAACCAATAGAATCTTAACTCCCTAGGACAGAGGCTCCAACACCAAGTTACATCATTTTCCCCATTCTTACCACTTCATCCTCCTCGTCCTCAAGGAGCTCGCTGTCACTCTCTTCTGGCCTCATGCCTATTCCACGGGTGCCCAGCCCCTCATCTCCAGCTCCAAGGAAGAAGTGGGCTGTGGTACTCTCGCCCTCACTGGCCGTCAACGACCACATCCCTGCCGGAACACCCACTCATCCCGCTCTGCAGAAAGGGGTACCCCATCAGATCAGAACCCAAGCTCCCTGGCAGTGGGTGGGGATGGGGATGGGATGAAAAAATGAGAGGGAACTAACTCTAAGGGTACTAGGGTCAAACAAAACAAAGCTATAGGAAAAAGGATCAACAAGAAAGGAGGCATATGGGCTATGCTTGAAATGCTAAAAGAGCCATAAAAGAAAAGCAAGGTATCCCATTTCCTCCCTGCTAACCCCACCCCAACCAATAAATTAGTAAGTAGATCAGATAATCAGCCCTTACAATGCCTGCATGTCCCTGATTTGGCCAGCAAGAAACATTAACTTCAGTCAGCAATGGGAAAGGCAGATCCTCAAGGAAGGCTACTGTTGAGTCCTACCAGAAGAGAAGGTTAGAGTGACATTTCAAACTTTGGACTCATTCCACAATGTTCCTCGCCCTTTTCCACCTCCTCACAGAAGTGTTGAATTCAGTGATTTAATTCAAAGGCAGAGGAATGAGAGAGCTCAGCTGCCTTTGCTCTTAAACCTCATCTTAATTCTTCCCAAAGATGAACTAAAAAAGTATTTATTGAGGCCACCCTACATTCTAAGCATTATATCAGAACATTAAGGCCAGGCACACTGGCTTACACCTATAATCCCAACACCAAGGGAGGTTGAGGAGGGTGGATCACTTGAGTCCAGGAGTTCGAGACCATGCTGGGCAACATGTTGAAATCATGTTTCTACAAAAAAAAAAAACCCACAAAAATTAGCCAAGCATGATGGTGCATGCCTGTAGTCCAGCTACTTGGGAGGCTGAGGCAGGAGAATCATCATTTGAGCTCGGGATGCAGAGGTTGCAGTGAGCTGAGATCACACCATTGCACTCCAGCCTGGGTGACAGTGAGATCCTCTCAAACAAACAAAAATAAAACAAAACAAAAACAAACAATACCCTTAAAACCCCCATACTCTCTCTATCCTTCGTCCATTCCATCTTAAAAGACAGTTGTCCAGTCAGACATTGTGTTTCATGCCTGTAATCCCAGCACTTTGGGAGACTAAGACAGGAGGATCACTTGAGCTTAGGAGTTTGAGACCAGCCAGGGCAACATAAGATCCCATCGCTACAGAAAAATTTTTAAGGCTGGGCACAATGAATCATGCCTGTAATCTCAGCACTTTGGGAGGCTGAAACGGGATGACTGCTTGAGCCCAAGAGTTTGAGACCAGCCTGGTTAATATAGGGAGATCTTGCCTTTACAAAAGCTTTTTCTTAAATTACCCAGGCATAGTGGCATGTGCCTGTGGTCTGAGCTACTTGGGAGGATAACCTTGGAGGACTATTTAAGCCCAAGAGGTCGAGGCTGCAGTGAGCCGTGATTGTGTCACTGCACTCCAGCCTGGGTGACAGAGCAAGACAAAAATAAATAATAAATATGATATTTATTTCATAAATAAAATCAAAATATAAATAATAATAATGATAACAATAATAATAAAAGACAGATGCAGAAGTTCAGAAAATCCATTCAGGGAAAGGGGTCTAGTGTGGTTGGGAGGTTGAGGATATAGGCATCCATATAGCAGTCTCCAATCCATTCTCTTTATTTATTTATTTTTAATTATTATTATTATTATTATTTTTGAAATGGAGTTTCGCTCTTGTTGCCCAGGCTGGAGTGTGATGGCTCAATCTCGGCTCACCACAACCTCTGCCTCCTGGGTTCAAGTGATTCTCCTGCCTCAGCCTTCCGAGTAGATGGTATTACAGGCATGCACCACAACGCCCAGCTAATATTTCATATTTTTAGTAGAGACAGGGTTTCACCATGTTGGTCAGGCTGGTTTTGAACTACTGACCTCGTGATCCACCCGCCTTGGGCTCCCAAAGTGCTGGAATTACATGTATGAGCCACGGCACCTGGCCTTCTCCAACCCATCCTCAAACTGAAATTTCAATGTTCTCTCTAGTTGTCCCCTGGTGCTATAGAACCAGTGCTGGTCTAGGCCAAGGTCCCTCACACCAGGAGCTACAGTTAAAAAAAAAAAAAAATCCTGCCTAAAACTGTAGCAGTAAGAATATCCTAAGACTTTAACTTGAACCAGCAGTTCCACTTCTAAGTACACACAACTAATTGAGAACCAACCAGCTGTGATTTTGCTGCACAGGGGACATTTGGCAGGAGACATTTTTGGTTGCCACAACTGAAATGATATTATTGGTGTCTAGTGAGTAGAGGCCAGGGATACTGCTAAACATTCTAAAATGCATAAGGTATCTCCTCACAACCAAGAACTATCCAGCCTTAAATCTCAGTAGCGTTGAGGTAGAGAAACTCTGCTGTAGAGAAATTCTCCTACATAAGAAGACTTTTGTAAGGAAGTTCTTAATCTCTCTGTTGGTAATGAGAAAACGTGGAAACAGTTCAGAGGTTACAAGTAGAATTGACACATACAATGTAGCATATAGAAATGACGGACTAATAGCAATGTAAAAATAAAAACTGTATATAATAAACGTAGTTTCCAAATACAAACTGCAGAAATATACCTGCAGTACAATTCTATTTGTATAAATAAAAATATTACATATTGTTTGTGACTGCATATATAATTAGTAGAAGTATAAAAACAGGGACTGGAAATAAAGACATCAAATTCATGATAGTGGTTATCTTTGAGGAGAAGGGAGAATGGAACTGAGGATTCAAACAGTACTTCACAACTTTATCTATAATGTTTATTTCAATTGTAAAAAACATCTAAAGCAAATATACAAAAGGTTAATATTTGTTAATATGAATTGTAAGGATATGAATATCTGTCATTATTTTCCAAAAATAAAAATTGAGTCACACATCAGCAATTTTCCATGGTCTGCAAAAGTTCTCAGAAACACTGACCAATGACTCTAATGAAAGTCACAAACTCCTTAAGTAAATGAACTTGTCTTACAGAAACAATGTTTTATATATGTAGTCTTATAGATTCTGAAAATAGTCTTGAATAATTATTTTATCTATTTTTATTTTAAACTCTTTCATTACAACTAGGGTTTGCAATTTTGACTAAAAAGTTCTAGCTGACCATCAGGTACGGTGGCTCAAGCCTGTAATACCAGCACTTTGGGAGGCTGAGGTGGGCAGATCATTTGAGGTCAAGAGTTACGAGACCAGCCTGGCCAATACAGCGAAACCCCATCTCTACTAAAAATACAAAAAATTAGCTGGGCATGGTGGCGTGCGCCTGTAGTCCCAGCTACTGGAGAGGCTGAGGCTGGAGAATCACTTGAACACATGCGGAGTTTGCAGTGAGCCAAGATCGCGCCACTGCACACCAGCCTGGGCGACAAGTGAAAACCCCATCTCAAAAAAAAAAAGAAAGTTCTACCTGACCTTTATGCACCTTGACCTTTCCAGTCTTCATCATATGCTGTCTTTACTTCTCAACTGCCATGAGGGTGCAACATTCTCCTTAGACTTAACATTTCCATTGTGCACTCATACACACACTCTTACCCCTGATAAAAAGGCTATTTTTAAATTCCTTTTCAGTGACCTGACCCAATTTCCCTGACTTGGGACATTCCCAAGGTCTCTGTATAGTTTGAGCAATTAGAATTTTGTTGCATTCTTTATCCTTGCTCTGAACCAGGGACTTTCTCTCAAGTATAAGATTACTAACCCTTTGCCCTTTCTTCCATTAAGACCTTCCCAGTTTTCTACTGACTTTACAGTAATGTTCTTGAAATTCTATTGCAGCTACATACTGGGGCATGGTAAGTAATTGAATAGGGATGAGACTGTTTACAAATATGTGGCTGAAGAGAGACGAAAGGTCTAAATTCACAGTTAACAAAGCCAAAATAGCCGGACAGAAATAGCTATGAAATAAGCCAGGATTTATTTAGATACACCTCTGGGAGAAGCTGGGCTTTGATGTGGTGTTCCCAGAGCCACCTCCGTTTTCTATGCTCTGCTCCCTATCCTCCTTCACAAATTTTGTTACAAAAGAACAGAAAACTTCAGTGTCTACACTGGGCTAAAGGGCAGTCTTACTCTGACATGAATCAATATGAAAGGAAGGAAAGAAGCAAGGAGATAGGCAAGTAAGGTAAGGAGGGAGGGGCAGGCAGACACTCTTCTCAGGAACAGCTATATTAAATCAGATCTGGAGAAGGGTTAGAAGGCAGGGTAAACAGTGTAACTTCTTTATCCATCAGAATTTAGGGCTGCTTGCATAATCATCTAATTTCCTAAATCACTATGCACTTGATGGTGGGTTCCATCGGTAATGAAGGGCAAATATTAATACAAATTCCAAGCAGGAATACATCCAACACAGAAAAACTACTCAATCCACCAACACTACTTTCTGCCGACCTTGAAGAGTGGATGCCCCCCTTTCTTCTTAATGCAATTTTTAATTCGTCAGACACACTCCTCATTCCAACTCTGATCAACTGTGCTCCTCTCCCTGTTCTCAGTATCAGCTGCCTCATACCGCCTTCTTTCCCCAACTTACTACAACGACTCTGGTCCCAATACTGACTGCTGCCTCCCTACTCCGCACCCCCATCATTGGTCAACTAATTCCATTAATCCAGTTAATCCTCCCACTCAAGGATTCCCCAGTATTAAAGTTCTTCACGCCCTGACACGAGTCACCATACTTGGTAACATCTTTATACTGACCCCTCAGAGACCCCCACAATGACTGCCTGTCATCCATTCTTTCCTCACGCCACCCCTTTCTGGAGGCTGCCTTCTCTCCGCCGCAACCCATGCCACAAGCTACTACCCCCGGATACCAGCCCCACTCCTCCTGGCGCAGATCCCTTCCACCTTGATCCTCTCCGCTGTACGACTCCGTTCCTCCATCCTCCTGCAGGACCCCCACTTCCTCACGCAGACCCCCACACACCTATCTTCTCTCTCACCGACCCCCTCCTCGGTCCTCGCACTGCTCCGGGTCACGAATACCGCCCTCCCATCCCGACTTCACTAGCCTTTGCCCGCCCCCGCCTTGGCCGCTTCACTCTCCCTGCGCTGACACTGAGGCCCCTCCGCTGGGCCTCTTCCCTAAGCCGAGCCCACCCGGAACGAACCCCAGCCCTGGGAACCCACCGAGCCCACTCTACCGCGCCCACCCTCTCCGATACCGCCCCCAGCCCCAACCACTCCCCCACCGCCCCCGGCCCTCACTCACCCGCCTCCCTCCGCTCGCGCAGCCGAACCTGCCGGCAGCGACACCTGACAGCCGCCCAATCAAAGCGCGACTTCTTTGCGGTGCCACCAATCGACGGAGGGCGCGCACCGGCAACAGAGTCAGGCTGCGTTGGCCGGCGCTTCTGCGCGGAGGAGCGTGACTTCTAGTGGCTCTGGGAGGAAATGCAACCTGGTGCTCCCTTCCTTTGATTTCTCACTGCATCGCCAAAGTCCAGATGCTTGGTCTAGACAGAGATGTTCCATGATGCGACGGGGTGGGTGGGAAGCCTGATGCTGAAGAAGAGCAAGAGGCAGATTTTGTGCCATTGCTGCTCCTTCAGGGCAAAACCAGGTCTTCCGTTTGTCTTATAAGACAAAACAAGGTATGATATATGTACAGATCCAATAAATAAAGGTTGAAAATGTTGAGACTGGAGACAAAAACAGAGACAAGGAGAGAAACATCAGAAAGTTAAGGGAAGGAACAGAGAGACATTTACAGAGAAAATGGATGGACATGGAACTCTAGACAAATTGATTACTACCTCCGCAGCCTGCTTTTTCTCTATTCTCCAGACAAAGCTGGATTTGAATCCTGGCCTTACCTTTAATAGCTGTGCAGCCTTCAGTGAGTCACTTAACTTCTCTGAGCATTTATTTTTCTCATCCATAAAACTGGGATTAAAAACTTAAGGCCAGTTGCGGTGGCTCATGCCTGTAATCCCAGCACTTTAGGAGACCGAGGCAGGCAGACTGTTTGAGTGCAGGAGTTCCAGACCAGCCTGGGCAGCATGATGAAACCCTGTCTCTACAAGAAATGCAAAAACTAGCCAGACATGGTGGCAAATACCTGTGGTCCCAGCTACTCATGGGGCTGAGGTAGGAGGATCACTTGAGCCTGGGAGATGGAGGTTGCAGTGAGCCAAGATCACCTCACTACACTCCAGTCTGGGTGACAGAAAAAGACCCTGTCTCAAACAACAACAACACACCTAACTTAAAAGGTACTGATAATACGAAAGCATTATGTATTGAATATGTTTGTATTGCTCTTATTATTATCCTTGCATCTTCACTTGGTGATCAAGATAGTCATTCCCTGGTTCTTCTCTGCAACATTAGGGTCTTGACACTTTTCCAGTCGTGTCTTATTGTACTGACCCTGCCCCCGCCAAGGCATTCTGAATGTACATAGAGGTGATTCTAAGAGCTGGAATAGATGATTCTAAGAGGAATAGATGCCTCCCTAGTTCATGCTTAGGCTAATACCCCCTCCACCACTCTAGCCCTTCAAACTAGCTAGTATAGCATCTTCCAGGTATTTAACTTATCTTACTATCCCCCTGAAAATGTAGACTTTGTCCTTTGTAATGGAACAATCCAATTTAACTCAATGAAATAATACATATAAAAGTTTCTTGTAATTGTAAAGTGCTTTAAAAATATTAAATACTGTCCAGTGCTCATGCCTGTAATCCCAGCACTTTGGGAGGCCAAGGCAGGTGGTTCACAATGTCAGGAGACCAAGACCATCTTAGCCAAAATGGTGAAACCCCATCTCTACTAAAAATAGAAAAAATTAGCAAGGTGAGGTGGTGCGTGCCTGTAGTCCCAACTGCTCAGGAGGCTGAGGCAGGGGAATTGCTTGAACCCAGGAGGCAGAGGTTGCAGTGAACCAAGACTGCGCCACTGTACTCCACCCTGGTGACAGAGCAAGACTCCATCTCAAAGAAAAAAATTAAATACTATTGACAGTAGTTCTTATTAAATAAATAACATACCATATATCAATGCCATATATTACTTCCATATGCTGTAGAATACGTTTTTTTAATGAATATTAATATATTATATGCCTGTTAAAGGCAAATGAGAGATAAGAAAAGTGCACAAGTACATGTGTTTTCCCTGTGGAATTATTGAATTATTGTTCAAATTTGGGCAGCTACTCTCTAAACTTGGGTAATTTCTCTACTTCCCTGGCTGTCTTATTTCTCCTTCTGTAATTATCTCCTCCCACTCCCTACCTCCTTAATCTTAGTAACCACCCTCTCAATCAAATATCAATCTTACTGCTCTGGAAGATTATCTCCCTATTTACCTGGATAAATACATGCTATTCTAAGAAATTATATTTATTTACTCAAGGCTATTTTTTAACCTAGTTAAAGAGGCCTCACAACACAGGTAACATTTTCCACACTGCAGAAACATAACTCTGTTCTCTAATAATTGATGTCTTTCCAGGAAAAGAAGAGATGGACCTGAGAGAGAAGTGGACACTTCTAAGAATACCCACAAATGAAGAAGGTAGAAAAAAGGACACAAAGGAGGCCTAGAAGGAATGAAGGGAATGAGAGTCGTATGGGAAATTCTTGATGTGAAGGGAATTCTCTTTCCCAAATACTCTCTCTTAAGATTTCCAAGTATCTTACTGTCCTGTGGGTGCGCCAGGATAGCATAGGGAAGGGACTAACGCCACCGTGCTACTCCACCTTAACTCCTCCACACTGAAGCCCCTCATCTCTATTTCAACTATAGCATTCATTCCCCTTGTTACCAGGACAAAGGTCGAGTCATACCTGGAGCTGGGAAACAAAGCTCTCTCAAATCTGAATACACGTTTTATGAGGAGAGAGAGCAGGATAGGGGACCACAAGAGAGGCAGACTCCCTGATGACCTCATGCCCTTGTACACCACTCGCCTTTACACTCTGGATTAAACAGCATTAGGGAGCCAAGAGAGGAAACACATGTGGTGTCTGGAAACCTGTGCCTGCCTGTTCCAGTCCCACACCCAGTCATCTCACCACACCCTTCACCTCACTTTCTCATGTTCTCCTCCAGCCCAGGAACTAGGAACTCCATAGAGAGAAGTGAAGGGAGAGGAGGAAGAGGAAACTAATAATTCTTTGTCCAACCACAACCCCACACCCAGCACAACCAACAGGTGGGCAAGCTTGCCAAGAATATTCAGAGGACATCCTGTGAACAGCAAACAGGTCTGAGCCTGGAAAAGACGCAGAGAAGTGAAAGATCAAAGGTGAGGTAGGGGACGGGGAGGAAAGTGGGAGAGACAAAAGGAAAACAAAAGTGGGGGATCATGAGAAGTAGAGGCAGGAAATAACAGGGCTTCAGACTTGGACACAGAGTGTTGGTGGAGGACACAGCACAGATGGCCTAAGAGTTAATATTTCCCTGGTTCCTCCCTGGGAGTCCTTTCTCAACCTTGTAAGGAGCGCACAGGGGTGGCAAGGAAGCACCTTGGTCTTCTTCCTGGTTCTAAGGAAAAGGTGACCTTGAACCAGTGGGTGTCTTTCCCAGTGCCTGCCTCTAACCCTGTGCTTTCTCCATATCCTCCTCCACTATCCGTGTTTATTCTGCTGTTTCCCCGCGGCTGGCCCGGGAGACGGGAGAGGTGGCTGAGGCAGGCCAGAAGCCGAGAAGTTGGGCAATGTCACCCTTGCACACTCACAGGGTAGAAGCATCGGGTTTCGGCTTAAACCGAGGGGTTTAGGGGAAGGGTGTTGAATTTTAGCTAGTCCACGTGGGTGCTGTCCTCTACTTGGTGCTGAAATCTGGGCGACCTCATACCGGGGGGGCTTACATCCCCGGTTTTAGGCGCGCGAGTCTCAGGCCCAGCTAATTACCTGGCGGTGCTGCCCACCCCTGCCCCCACGCACCTAGCGCGGCGGCAGGCGGGAAGGCGGGGCCTAGGGGAGCCCCACCCCTGGAGACTGCGGCCGGGGCTTCCCTTACCTCCTCCCTCCTGCCCGCCTGCCACTAGCTCACTGCGCCTCTCCTGCAGTCTGATCGGTACTGGCTCCTATTCCGGCTCCAACCTCCACTCCGACCCCCATCTAGGCTGCAGCCTCGGACCTAGCTCCGGCCCTCAGTCTATTCGCTTGCATCCTCCCTCCCTGTTCCGGATCCTGTCTTGCGCCAGCGCCTACTCCAGGATCCCGTAGCCAGACCCTCAAGCCATGGCTGGTCCCTTCTCCCGTCTGCTGTCTGCCCGCCCGGGACTCAGGCTCCTGACTTTGGCCGGAGCGGGGTCTCTAGCCGCTGGCTTTCTGCTCCGACCGGAACCTGTACGAGCGGCCAGTGAACGACGGAGGCTGTATCCCCCGAGGTAACAGTGCCTGAGGCGCGGGAGGGGGTGGGGGCAGCGGTGATGGAAATGAAGGTGCGGGTAGAAATGAGAATCCGGGCAACAGAGAAGGGCTATAATCACTAAGGCCCTGGAGCTGGAGGGCTGTACAGTCTGCAGACCTCAGTGGGGTGGGGGTGGGGGCCAAAACCATAAAGCAAGAACATTCCTGGGGACCTGTCAAGACCAGCTCCGGCCTTGCGAGTTCTAGCTGCACTCGCTGCCTAAATCCCTAATTGTAAAGCCAGGAACTATCCTTTTCGCTTCCCTCCATCTCCTTCCCCCATTTCCTCAATTCCTCTCCTTAGTCTTTCCCCTCCTCCATCCCTAGTGTTGTGTCATGGGAGGAAAGAACTGAGCAGATCTGGAGAAACTGAGCTGGCTAGCCAGAGGCAACTAAAACTATTAGGAAAGAATAGACTCTGAAAGTACCTAAAGAGATTACCAAGGTTTAGCCTCTTTCTAATTCCCCCTCCTCCCACGGAGCAAAGCCAGCCATGGCCAAGTGGACAGCTCCCAGGTAACTGCACTAGGTCTAGGCCGCTGTGCCCTCCCTCCATGGTTACTGGGTACCCCCTCCCTAGCGCTGAGTACCCAGACCTCCGAAAGCACAACAACTGCATGGCCAGTCACCTGACCCCAGCAGTCTATGCACGGCTCTGCGACAAGACCACACCCACTGGTTGGACGCTAGATCAGTGTATCCAGACTGGCGTGGACAACCCTGGCCACCCCTTCATCAAGACTGTGGGCATGGTGGCTGGAGATGAGGAGACCTATGAGGTAGGGCATCTCTAGAGTCTCCCTGGTGATCCAACTCATCTTCCCAGTAATCCCAACTCCTTCCCCCTAAAGACCTCTCAGTTTCCCCCAAGACTCGGAGCAATCCATACTTAAGTTTTCTGACCCAGTGAAATCAATGCACAACTGAAGCCTGGGGAGGGATTTCCTCTCCTTAACCATCTGACCCTCTTAACTCCCCTTAGGTATTTGCTGACCTCTTTGACCCTGTGATCCAAGAGCGACACAATGGATATGACCCCCGGACAATGAAACACACCACTGATCTGGATGCCAGTAAGGTGTGTTTAAATATTCCACTTCTGATTTGCATTGCCTATGTATCTCCAATCCCTTCATCTTATTTCCTGACTTATGGTCATTATACTGCTGAGCTTTTAATCTTAATGTAAGGAAAGAATCCTATCTTAAGGAGCAGCATATATGGAGACGAAAGGATAGATAAGAATGACCATAGCCCCAAGATGGGCAGTTTGGGGAAGGGTCTGCAAGGCCCCCTTCAATTGGAGTGTTTTCCCAATGAGCCTCTTCTTCCAATGCACACAGGAAGAATACACAAAGAGTCCTCTAATCCCTAAGGAAGGTCTCTCCTTTCCCAGGGGCCCTCAATTCCCACCCACTGTGTTTCTATGACTTATATTCATTTCCCTTATTTCCCAGATCCGTTCTGGCTACTTTGATGAGAGGTATGTATTATCCTCGAGAGTGAGAACTGGCCGAAGCATCCGAGGACTCAGTCTGCCTCCAGCTTGCACTCGAGCAGAGCGACGAGAGGTGGAACGTGTTGTGGTGGAAGCACTGAGTGGCCTGAAGGGTGACCTGGCTGGACGTTACTATAGGCTCAGTGAGATGACAGAGGCTGAACAGCAGCAGCTTATTGATGTGAGGGCCTTCAGAGGGAGCTGGGTTGGGGAAGCAGATGGAGAAAAGAGCCAGAGGGGAAGCTGGGCCAGATGAGACATGGGCTCTGAGAGGTCCAGGGGCCACCATTAAAAGTCTTAACCCAAGTCCCTTTACTCTTCCCAGGACCATTTTCTGTTTGATAAGCCTGTGTCTCCATTGCTGACTGCTGCAGGAATGGCTCGAGACTGGCCAGATGCTCGTGGAATTTGGTATGAGGCTGCTTCTTACCTCTTTTGTCTTCGCGCCCTCATAAATGCTTTTTTCCCCTCTGCCTCTCCCAATTCTTGCCTTGTCTCTTGATCACTGTCCTTCTCCCGCCCTCAGGCACAACAATGAGAAGAGCTTCCTGATCTGGGTGAATGAGGAGGATCATACACGGGTCATCTCCATGGAGAAGGGTGGCAACATGAAAAGAGTGTTTGAAAGATTCTGCAGAGGCCTCAAAGAGGTTGGAGAAGAGTGTGTAGGGTTGCTAGGTGGGAGGACATAAGGAAAACCGAAGAGTAGCATAAATAATTGTGAAATTTATAAACCAATCCAGGGCATGTCTGATAGTAAAAAGGGTTGCCATTAATCACTCTAGAACTAAAAGAATAAACCAACTGGGACTATACTGGGAAAACCAGGACATGTGCTTACCCTAAGATTATGAAGAGAGAAAGAGTATCAGGAACCTTAGGACATGAAAAAGGCAGTTAGTTGCCAGATAATGCAAAGAAGGAATAACTGAGGAGGCAGGTCAGTGCCTGGGATGTGTGGTGTGGGATGGTGAGATGTGCAGATAAGGAGATGATTTGAGCTTAGATTGATGTTGGTGGGGAGAGGTTGCTGTGTTCATGACTCTATTATAACTATCCAGTTCTGACACAAGGTAGGCCTTGTCTCTGGATTCTGTCATTCTTGCTGAAGTACTGTGTCTAGGCTTTAAGCTGAGAGTTGGGAGGGAGATTGGGGAAGGTGGAGGATAGAATGGTTTGAATTCTAGAATATGTGGCTGTAGATGAGAGGTTAAACTTAATCCTCAATCCTACATAGATTGGTTCTCCATATTGAAGTCTACATTAGAAAACCCCATAAACCCAATTCTTACTGTATATTCTCATACATACAGTTCTACTTTGGGCTTGCAAAGAAAAAAGAGCTCCTCTTTTAGATTCTGAGCAGTTTCTACTATTTTTGGCAAGTAATAGATAACATATTCTCACTATGAATGGGTAGGGAAGTAACTTTAAATTATATGCCTCAGTTTCCTCATCTGTAAAATTGGGATAATGAGATTTTCTACATTTTAGGTTGTTGTGGGGATTAAATGAAATACAGGTAAAGTACTTGGTCCACAGTAAGTGCTTAATAAGTGTTAAAGTGTTAGCTGCATTATTATTCTAGATGGAAGGGTTTCCCCATGTTCAGCATGTAAGATATTCCCCTATGCCATGATTCTTTCTGAACTATAAACAGGATCCCTTTACTCATGTTGGGTAGTGGTCTTTGTGACCAGTATTATGGTAGATCCCTTGTCTCAAGTCTAATAGTCACCTTCATGACTACATGGTTAAGTGAAGCAAAGCACCTTCTCCTGCCCCCATTCCTATGAATCTGGCTTTTCTGCTCTGTTTTCGTCTTCTCTGCTTTCACACATGTGTTCCTTTCACAGCTAACAGAAGGTTCTCTTACCTCTTCCTAACAAAGCTTACACCTTCATTTTCTGCCTGAAAGGACCCTTCCAAGCTCTAGACTCATTAGCAAAGCAAAGATAATCAATGCATGTATAACTCATTGAATAATCAATCCTTTCTCAGTTCAGTTTATCACCTCTGTTCATTTTCCTAGACCATCCCTAATACACGACTCCCTCGAGTTTTTCTTCCACATATTTTCACAATCTCATTATTATTCACATTATAATTTTGCATCACATGCATGATAATAACAACAAACATTTTCACCGAAGAACATTGTCATTCATTCACAGCCAAGTTTCTGTTCTAGACATATTTCTAGTGTTCTTGTGTGTCTAGCTAAGGGAGGGTCCAGGGTTAATGAAAATATCCCTGATTTTTCATTAACAAAACCTTTGTGGACTCAGGTGGAGCGACTTATCCAAGAACGTGGCTGGGAGTTCATGTGGAATGAGCGTTTGGGATACATCTTGACCTGTCCATCTAACCTGGGCACTGGACTTCGGGCAGGAGTGCACATCAAACTGCCCCTGCTAAGCAAAGTAAAGGAGTTGAGGGGTTACAGAGGGGTGTGAGTAAGGAAGGGTGGGTTGTGGATGGGGAGGGAGTGGACCCTTTGGAAAGGATAAAGGGTCAGGAGACCAGCTGGACACAGTGGCTCATGCCTGCAATCCCAACATGTGGGAGGCCAAGGCAGGCATATTACTTGAGCCCAGGAGTTTAAGACCAGCCCGACAACCTGATGAAACCCCATTTCTACTACAAATACAAAAACTAGCCAGGTGTGGTGGAGGCTGAGGTGAGAGGATCACTTAAGGGAAGTCAGGGCTGCAGTGAGCTATGATCACTCCCAACCTGGGTGACAGAAAGAAACCCTGTCTTTTAAAAAAAGGAAAAAGCTCAGGAGACAGCTCTGAGCAGGTTTAGGGCTCTTTCAGGTAGGACTAGTCTCTCTATTGACCCTGCTCTCAATCCCTATCTCCTCTCTAGGATAGCCGCTTCCCAAAGATCCTGGAGAACCTAAGACTCCAGAAGCGTGGTACTGGAGGAGTGGACACTGCTGCCACAGGTGGTGTCTTTGACATTTCTAATTTGGACCGACTAGGCAAATCAGAGGTGAGATCCTAAGGGATTAGGGTGAGGAGCTGTATAGGTCTGTGGGGGCTGAAACATGGCAGTGAGTAAGCCTCAGGAATGTTAACAGCATCTGAAATGAAATTCATGTTGAGTGGGGAGGCAATTGGAAACAAGCAGGCAAGTCAGTCAGTGCTAAAGAAAAACTCAGATTGTAGAAAGCAGATATCAAGGATTAGTGTCCTTCAGGTGGAGCTGGTGCAACTGGTCATTGATGGAGTAAACTATTTGATTGACTGTGAACGGCGTCTGGAAAGAGGCCAGGATATCCGCATCCCCGCACCTCTCATACACACCAAGCATTAACTCCCCATCGCCAGCTGATAACTCAGGATTCCCAGGAGTTCTGCTCATTCTAATGAGGACTCATTCTACTTTGCTCTGGACCTGCCCCTGCATCCCCTGCCTCCATCCTAGTAAAGACTCCTTGCTATACTGCAGTTGTCTGTGTTATTTCTAATGGTGGGGTGAGGAGGGAGCAGCCTTCAGGAAATGAAAAGAGGCAGTGGGATTATTTATGATGGAAAGAGACTCCAGTTATGGCATGCCAGGAACAATGATTCTCAGGTGGGTGGAAAGCATTAATATTTTATCCATATTCCTTATCAGCTTCTGAGAATAATCAGGATGCACTTCTGTTTGCACTTTATTCTTTATGACTTAAGATTTCTCTCCCCACAGTCTCCTGCTACTGTATAGACAGGCTCAGAGCAGGTGGTCAAGGAAGCTGATTGTCAATACCAGGGACCAGGAAGGTTGTGACCAGTCCCAGAGGCCCCAGGCTGTACTTCGACCTATAATAGACAGAGAGTGGAAGTAATATCACAACTCTGCTCTCCAGGAGCATTGATACTTGGAAATTAGCTCTCTGCCTGTAGACTCCTTCACTCCAGGGATCTCCCGGGGGTCTGATTCTGGGTCTGGAGGGTCAAACTCTGTAGCTGGGAACTCACCTTGCTGTTCTGGGCTCTCCTTCCCCTCATGCTGGGCCCATGCAACTGCTTGTCGCTGCTCAGGACTCAAAAAGGCCATTTGCTCAGGAGTAACAGACATAGCCTGAGCACTGGTGAGACTGGACAGTTGGGTGGGACTAAACACCACCTGGGGGCAGGGGTAGGAATCAGTGCATGTATGTAGTCCCTGTTGGGCCCTGGATCTCCTGTGGTCATCCCGGTCCATTAATACTTACAACAAATTTAGGAGGAGGGATGACAGAAATGGCAAGAGGAGTAAGACCCTGGATCTGTCCCCGCAGCAGTGCTGAAAGAGCCAGGTCTGGGATCCCAGCTGTTGAAGCAAGTGGCATCCAAAATTGTCTTAGACTGACCTTCCTTCTCTTCAGACCTATAGACCTCTCTAACTACTCCCAAAATGCCCTACCGCAGACCTCCCCCAGTATGTCTCCAGCCCCTTAACTAAATACTTTCTCAGGCCCCCACCTAAGAATTGTGGGGCAATTTTCCATTCAGTCCACCCATGGCATAGAAACCAAACCAACTTGTACCAGCTTCCCACCTGCTATTGTACCAATTTCAGTGAAGATCTCAGGCCCCCAGTTACTGATTGGGCCAAAGCCACCAGGCAGTACAAGGAGGTGGGCCAGAACCTCCAGTTGTTCCTCAGAGCACTGGAGATGCAGGGTGCCCAGGAAGAGAGCTGCTTGGCTGTAGAAGAGTGGGAAGGAAGGAAGAAGAATTCAGCTTCAGCAAAAGGGGCTGTGGTCTTGAGACAAAGGAAGAGATGGCTTCAATTGAGTTCCTTTCCTCCATAGGACCACACCTTCATGACCTTTCTTTCCCCAGTAAGTCCACCTTTACCTCAATACCACCACCCTCAGCCCCTTCACAAGTGACCTAAACTCCCAACTGCTGATGTGCTGTAGCTCCTCTGGCCGCAGTCCACAGAGTGTATAACCCAGTGCTGTCAGATGAATGAAGTCCAGGTGGCTCACATGCCGACCACTCTGCCGTAGGAAACTGGAGACCACAACTCGGAGCTGGGGTGGGGGTTAGGGGCAGAGGGAAAGGAGAAAATTATGGAGAAATTATGGACAGGGAAGTGATAGGTGTTGATGGGTTATATCCTGTTACTATTAAAACCTAAAGTGCCATGGGGAAGGTTGAGGATTCAAAAAAGAAAAGGATAGAAAAAGAGGAGACCTCTGGGGAAAGAGGCAGGAGACAGTACTATGTGTCCAGGACCTCAGAGTGAATAAATCAGAGTCCCGAAGGTCACTAGCATGGGATATTAAGAAAAGATAGAACGAATGACCGGGTAGGGTCACAGGGAAAAATTCCTTGGGTTTCAGATGATCTAGAGGGCTGGGTCTGTGGGATGGGTACTTGGGAAATGGTAGGGAGGGTGAAAGGTATTACCTGGGTGGAGCTCCAACCATCTATCTGCCCCAGGGTGCTCAGCACTCCCCAGTCCACTAGAATCAGCTCCTGTAGTTCCCGATCTCCTAGACCTATTAAGAGCCGACCCAGCTGCAGGATCTGCTCAGGACGAAATCCCCGGGGGGGACCCCACAACTAGGAGGAAGAGAGGAACAATGTGAGTGGAAAAGCAGTGGACTGGGAGTCAGAATGCTGGGTTTTAAGTCTTGCCTCTGCCCTTAGCTGTATAACTCCAGGCAAGTCACTTGCCTTTGGGTTAGTTTCCTCCACTATAAAATGAGACAGTTGCCTTACAGTTCCTCTGACTAAGGTGTTTTGAAAGACATTAGAGTCAGTAGAAAAGAAGAGCAGACTAACTTTAGTCCATGAGTTCTAAACTTTTATGTGCATCAGACACAGAGACACCTATTAAGATGCAGATGCCTGGGGACCGGCACTGTGGCTCACACCTGTAATCTTAGCACTTCGGGAGGCTGAGCTGGGAGGAATGCTTGAGCCCAGGAGTTCAAAACCATTCTGGGAAACATAGCGAAACCCTATCTCTACCAAAAATACAAAAATTAGTCAGGTGTGGTGGTATGCACCTGTAGTCCCAGCTACTTCAGAGGATGAGGCAGGAGGATGGTTTGAGCCCAGGATGTAGAAGTTGCAGAGATCACACCACTGCACTCTAGCCTGGGCGACAGAGTTTGTCTCCAAAAAAAAAAGCAGATATCTGGACTCTTTCTCCCAGAGACTGACTGACTGGCCGACTTATTTATTTATTTATTTATTTATTTTTGAGACAGGGTCTTGCTCTGACACCCAGGCTGGTGTGCAGTGGTATGATCTCAGCTCATTGCACCCTCCACCTCCCGGGCTCAGGGGATTCTCCTACCCCAGCCTCCCAAGTAGCTGGAATTACAGGTGTACGTCACCACACCCAGCTAATTTTTTTTCTGTTTTTAGTAGAGACAGGGTTTCACCATGTTGCCCAGTGGTCTCAAACTCCTGGGCTTAAGCAATCCACATGCCTCAGCCTCCCAAAGTACTGGGATTACAGGCATGAGCCACTGCGCCCAGCTTCCCAGAGGTTTTTATTATGTCAGTCTAGCATGGTAATCCAGCATCGGCATTAAAAACCTGTTCCCAGCCAGGCGCGGTGGCTCATACCTGTAATCCCAGCACTTTGGGAGGCTGATCACAAGGTCAGCAGTTCGACACCAGCCCTGCCAACATGGTGAAACCCTGTCTCTACTAAAAATACAAAAAATTAGCTGGGTGTGGTGGTGCACACCTGTAATCCCAGATACTCAGGAGGCTGAGGCAGGAGAATCATTTGAACCCAGGAGGCAGAGGTTGCAGTGAGAAGAGATCGAACCATTGCACTCCAGCCTGGGCGACAGAGCGAGACTCCGTCTTAAAAAAAAAAAAAAAAAAAAAAAAAAACCTGTTCCTTGCTTGCTTCAGCAGCACATATACAAAAAAAATTTGGAATGATAAAGAGATTAGCATAGCACCTGCGCAAGTATAACATGCAAATTCATGAAGCATGCCATAATTTTTTTAAGATAGAAAAAAGAAAATAAAGGAAAAAGTCAGTTCCCTTGATGATTGTGATACGCATTAAAATTTGGTAATTACTGCTTTGGTCCCTCTATTCATTGTACTGGCTCTCTTTCCTCAAGAATTATCTCCCCTCACCTCCTACTTATCACCCAAATCTTTTACCACTTTTATCTCCTGCTTCCCCCACCTCTCATCCAACTCTTCATTCTCTTGGTGTCCCACATCACACCCAAACAACTTCCTCATGGCCGACCCCAGTTGGCTCTCCATCCCTAACCTGTTTTGCTTTGCCCATGGCTGCCCGCAGTTCCTCAGGCCCAAGTCCTGGGTCTCCTGCAAATAGTGTCAGGCAGTCCTCAAAGTCTGAGAGCTCCATCTCTGCAATCTGGGTGGCAGACCAGGCTGCTGGGAATGTCCCTCGTACATCTGCACAATTTGGCACAGGTTCTGAAGAGGGAAGGCAGAGCCAGGAGGTCAGTGTAGTATTAAAATATGTCCAGAAAGATATCTGTAGATGGAATAACCCTTCCAACCTTTGGAGGATGGAGCACTGGGGGAAGTAGGGATCAAGGGATTATTACAGGGTAAGATTTATAGGGCTTAGAAGATAATAGAACAAGAAGTGATTGGAGATGCCAAGTCCCTCGTTTTATAGATGGAAGACTAAGGATGTTGCCCAGGCATTTAATGGCAGAGCTGAATTCAAACCCAGTTCTTTAGCCTCACAATGCCTCCTTCAGAGCTTCTAGGGATCTCCCCAGCAGAGAACTCCACACTTAGCCAAGCTAGAGCTGAGTCAGCTGTTTATAAAGACAAGAGAGCAGGAAAATGCGAGTTGTGGGCTAAAAGAAAATGTAATAGTTTACAAACTCCCAGAGCTATAGAATTCTAGAACTAGAAGAGACTTGAAGATCATCACTCTAACCTCTAACCTTGCTTTATAAATGAGAAAACTCAATCCCAGAGAAGAGCACATGTAGAACCCAGACTGTTTGATACTCCCTTTACATCCTACTGGACATATGAGTATTTGAGCAGTTTCACCTGGAAGATCCTCAGCAGCTGGTCGCACCACCCCTGCTACCAGGGCTGCTTTCTTGGCAGCAAGCTGTGGCCCCCTACACAGCTGTCCAAATCTGCTCTGCTCCCAGCTCTGCTGCTTTTCTAGAAGCCTCTCTAGGGTCTCTGGACCCAAGGCCTCCTGCATGAGAAGATAGAAGGAGAGTGGGGAGATCTGGACAGGTCAGGGCCTACTGCTATAGCTATATTTACAAAGTCCTGTCTCTGTTTCACAGTCTCCCCCCAGATCTAGGCTTCGTATCCTTTGCCCTATTTGGCCATGGGTCCCCATAACCAGCTCACCAGTCCCCTCTATGCATTTACTCCCTTCTCTTGTTCCTTCATCTCACCCTGGGGATCAAGGAAATTGCCTCAGTTGACAGAGTGAATAGTAGGCGTCCAGCTTGCTCTACTTGATCCTGGCTCCATAACTCTGGTTTCCTGGGGGACAGGAAGAAGATCAGGGGCTGGGGAGCTGAGGGAACTGTGAGGAAAAGAAAGGGGAAAGAGGACATGCTAGGATTTGGAACAGGGGGCTCCAAGGGACCTTAAGAATATGGAACAGACTGCCACTGATTATGGTGGTTCAGGGACTGGGTATAGGATGAATTAGAATCTGAAGTTCTCAAAGGTCCATACCCAAGAACAGGCTCCTGCAATAGCAGCCATCCCAGCTCTGTGGCAAATGTCTCTCCTAGGCAGTAGCCTTGCAGCTGACTGAGATGCGACAGCAGGATCTGTAGGGGGATCCGTCTTGTGCTCTCTATCCCCAGGAATCCAACCAAAGGGCCTAAGGTCTCCAGCACTTCCCCTGAGACTGCAGTCTCCTTTGGAGCCTGGAGAGGAGCATCGGAACTTGGACAGTGCACCTCTGACTCAGAGTACCAGACACTTTGATCAAGACACCAAGCCCCTTGACCCTCCCTCCCTCCCGCTCTCAACTCAGCACCCTATGATGCTCACTGCCTTTGTTCACGTTCTTAAGCAATAAGCCCACATAGGAGCAGGCAGAAAGACTGAGAGGTGGACTCCAAGGGATTTCTTGGCCTCCAGGAGGTATGGACAAGTAACATGAAACAGATTATCAAGGAACAGAACCCAGAGGCAAAAACAGGGCCTTGTAGAAAGGAACCTGTTTGGCAGCAAGAAAGCAAGTAGAGGTTTGGGGGACAGTCAGAGAGCATAGTCTGAGAAGCAAGAATTGCCCAGGGCAACAAATCTCAGTCTGATAGGGTAGACTCTTACCAGGTTTTGTAGTGCCCTCTCTGCCAGGGCTGCCTGGTGGAGTGGGGTCAGTGCCAACAGCTGCTCTGGAGCTCTTTGCACCAGCTCCACCACCAACATAATAGATTCATTGGATAGTCTGTCCATTAGCTGGATTCTATTATAGCAATGTGACAACAACAGCATTCAGTTGGAACTGAACCAAGTTGAGAAGGGCCCACAGAACACCACATTCCTCAGCTAAGATATGACCCCAGATCAAACTTAGTGAAGCTGGACAGGACAAGAACTAATAGTAAACAACTCCACGCCCAATTCCCACCATCAAGCTTGAATGGGGGAGAAAAAGGGAGTGACATATTTCTAGTCTTCCTAAAAAGAAATAACAAACACTCCTACCTAATCTAATGGACTCAAAAACTCCAAATATTAAGTACCATTAACATTTCCCCATTTTATAGATTAAAAAACAGGTTCACAGAGATCAAAAGTAGGGTCTCTCACTCCCAATTCCAGTTTTTTCCCAAAGGGCAACCCTTCCTCTACTTGTGAGGAGACCCCTTCTTGTTTGCATAATGCTATGCAATTTACAAAGTTCTTTCAGGTGTTATCTCATTTGATTCTACAATAAGACCTGGCCTCACTCCATTACCCAGGCCGGAGCGCGCAGTGGTGCTGCGATCTCAGCTCACTACAACCTCTACCTCCCAGGTTCAAGCAATTCTTGTGCCTCAGCCTCCCAAGTAGCTGGAATTACAGGCATGTGCCAACACACCCAGCTAATTTTTGTATATTTAGTAGAGATGGCATTTTGCCATGCTGGCCAGGCCAGTCTTGAACCCCTGACCTCAGCGATCCACCCACTTTGGCCTCCCACAGTACTGGGATTACAGGTGTGATCCACTGTGCCTGGACAAAATAGGTGTTTTTCTTATCCCTCTTTCACTAATGAGGAACTCAACTTTTCTGACGCATAGTCTAGGATGTTTCACCTCATCCGTGACCTTGGGATTCTAAATAGTCTCACAGAACACACATATTTAAACAGATTTGAATAGCATTAAAAAAAATTAAAACAGGCTTGGCGCAGTGACTCACACCTGTAATCCCAGCACTTTGGGAGGCTGAGTCAGGAGTTTGAGACCAGCCTGACCAAGGTGGTGAAACCCCATCTCTACTAAAAATACAAAAATTAGCCAGGTGTGGTTGTACATGCCTGTAATCCCAGCTACTCAGGAGCCTGAGGCAGGAGAATCACTTGAATCCGGGAGGTGGAGATTGCAGTGAGCTGAGATCATGCCATTGCACTCCAGCCTGGGTGACAGAGTGAGACTCCATCTCATAAATAAATAAATACAAATACAAAAAACCCTTTTGCCCAGAAATCAGAAGCGATAGCCTGTACCCTACCTAGCATTGCCAATTCTGGAATTGGGCTAAGTCATACAAGAGCTAACATCTGTGGAAAGCCCTATAAATATATAAGAATGTTGGGAGGCTGAGGCAGGTGGATCACTTGAGGCCAGGAGTTCGAAACCAGCCTGGCCAACATGGTGAAACCTCATCTCTACAAAAAACACAAAAAGTAGCCTGGCGTGGTGGTGCATACTTATAGTCTCAGCTACTTGGGAGACTGAGGCAGGAGAATTGCTTGAACCTGGAAGGTGGAGACTGCAGTGAGCAGAGATCACATCACTGCATTCCAGTCTGGGCAACAGAGTGAGACTCCGTCTCAAAAAAAAAAAAAAGAAAGTAAGAACGAAGTCAACTGCTTTTACTCCATTTCATCTCCATATCTCCAGGAAGACTATAACACAAGCATTTTCCTACTCTGACTTACAGTGCAAGTGGCAATGGGGTCGTGGTGGGGGTAAAACAAGAAAGAGAGCATATGAGTAAGATACTCATAAACTTCTAGCTCTCTGGATTGGGAAGAGCCTTGGTTCCTACAGCCTTCTCTTCTCACAACCTATATATGAATGTGCTCCACAATGTTCCTGCCATGGGGCCATCTGGCCTAGGCTCGAACAGCTCCAATGACCAGGAACTCACTACCTTAGTTTTTCTTATGCTATGTAAAAATCTGATCTCCATTAATTATTCTTAGTCTTGCCCAATGGGGACACTCATAAATATGCAATCTAATTTCTACTTGATAGCCCTCAAGTATTTCAAGGCATTTATCATGTTTTTAATATGTTTTCTTTCTATCTACGACTCTGAATGCACTGAGAACACAGGGCCCTGAGCAAACTACAATCCTTTGGGGCAGAATTGGAGCATTGCTTCCCTCACTTCAGACACTCTATCTCAATTAATGTGGGTTAGGTTATTGTAAGATTACTTGGCAGGCCTCAATACAGTGTTGCCACCCTCAGCTGCTCCATGTTGGTGCCATGTTCTCGGAACTAGTCAATACACAGAGCAACTTTGAATAGAATCTTCTGCTTTGGACTACCAGAAGTCCTGACATCCCTGGATGTCAGGGAACTACCAGATAGAAAAACCACCTCCTCTAGGGCATTCCCTAAGGGTAGATCTTCACCCTAGATTGAGTTTTCTGAGGGGTCAATATCTCCAGGTGTAGTACTTACGGTAAGTCCAGGAGTAGCTTGCTATCCAGTCCACTCAGTTCTGGCCCTAGAGCTGTCCATTCTGGTTCTGGCATTGCCATCCTCCGCTGTAGCTCTGCCCAGATACAGGCCCTCTGTAGGGAAGCAGGGTGAGGCCAGAGCAGAACATAAGAGCTGGGTTCTATACCTAGGGTCCCAGCCTCCCTGCTCCCACCAATGTCCAAGCACCCCCTCTCACCAGGCTCCCTCGAATTCTAGTGTGCAGTTGATAGATCATGTGCACCACTTCAAGGAAGTCTACCATTGAGTTGATCTGCTGCAGAAACTCACAGGACATGCCCCCTGCCATGGTGCCCAGAGCCCTGTGGGTATGTGAGTGGGTAGATGCTCATTCAACACATGCCACAGCCTGTCTGCTCCTTGATATCAGTGCTCTCAACACAAGTACAGATCTTCATTTACGGCAATTTATGGTTTGAGCAATGTTTTAAAATATTCTCCTCAGTTTCCCATAACATCACTGCTTATCAGAGAAGAAAAGAATTACAGATGTCAGGTGACATTCTCAACATTATTCTACTAGAAATGTGGTAAACTGAAACTAGAGCCATATCGTAGATTCTGAAGCCCTTGGGAGGCCAAGGTGGGCAGATCACCTGAGGTTAGGAGTTCAAGACCAGCCTGGACAACATGGTGAAACCCCATCTCTACTAAAAATACAAAAATTAGCTGGGCATGGTGGTGCATGCCTGTATTCCCAATTACTCTGGATGCTAAGACAGGAGAATTGCTTGAACCTGGGAGGTGAAGGTTATAATGAGCTGAAATCGTGCCACTACTGCACTCCAGCCTGGGCAACAGAGCAAGACTCCATCTCAGAAAAAAAATAATAAAGATTCTGAAGCCCATGGTTCTTTTATTGTGGGTGTAAGTAAAGTGATACCTTCTTATTCCTATTTATTCTTGCTTGGCCAGAAGTCACCCTGAAGTAAACTAATAGTAGCAAATGTCTCCTGGGAGTTTACAATGGGCCAGGCACTGTGTTAAATATCATTTAATCTTCATAATAACTACCTATGAGGCTGGTGCCATTTTAATTCTCATTTAAAGAAGGGAAAACTGACACAGGGAGGTTAAATGACTTGCCCAACAAGTAGGTGACACAACTGGAACCTGAACCCAGGTTTTCTGAGTCCTTTGGTTCTAGTCAGGATAGACATGGCACTGTGGAAGGACAGGAGGGCAAAGAAAGGAGCTAGGAGAATGTCCATGGGGCAGGGACTATACATCATTCATCCCTATATTACCCTGTTCCATATCACATGGTGACTGGCACACAGTAAGCATTCAAAAAAAATGTTGGTTGAATTCAGTTCACTGCTCAACACAAGTTACTCACTGTAGATTCCTAAGGGTCAGGTTGGTGGGTACTTGCATCTTCTTCCAGAGAAACTGTGCCTACAAGAGAAAGAAAGAGGAGCCACTTCACAGAAGATACACTGTTCAAGGATACCCCCTAGAGTGGAGAGGCAGGAATGCTTTGGACCCAGTCCTGCCTCTTCACTCTGTGGGACCTACCAGCCTCCCACTCTCCCAGATGCCCACTCAGAGCGAGTGAGAAATAAATGAAATAAAAGGGAAGGAGAAAGAAAAGAAAAGAAAGTCACATTATAAGGGATACTAAGGGGCTAGGTGCAGTGGCTCAGGCCTGTATTCCCAGCACTTTAGGAAGCCAAGGCAGGAGGATTGCTTGAGGCCAGGAGTTTGAGGTTACAATCTGGGCAACATGATACCTCAACATAGTGTCTCAATATAGTGTTCACATTTTTGTATTGTCTGTCTCTACAAAAATTTTTAAAATGAGCCAGTCATGGTGGTAACCGCCTGTAGTCCTAGCTATTCAGGAGGCTGAGACAGGAAGATTGCCTGAGCTCAGGAGTTTGAGGTTACATTGAACTCTGATCATGCCACTGCACTCCAGCCTAGGCAACAGAGTGACTGTGTCTCAATCAATCAATCAATCAATAAAGGATACTAAGGATAATCTGGCCAAATAGGGCTGAGGGATGGGTACAGAAGATAGACCACACTGAGGGATGGAGTTCTGAAATTAAGTGGGGAGAATCACCTGCTGCTCAGACCAGGGCAACTCCCGGTAGCGTCTTCGGTTTGCCAGAAGAGCTGAGGAATCCAGTTGTAGCAGCTTTAATGGGAGCAGGGGAAGCAGGCAATCTGGCCAGGTGGTGGAAATAGGCTGCTGGCGGCAATGGGTATAGCAGTGTAGTGAGAGAGTCTAGATTTAGCACTCAGAGAAAAGGAATCATGTGGGCGGAAAGGGACCAAAGCTAGGACAGAAGTGGAATGGCATTTGCCACTGTATCAATAAATGCCTAAGAGCCTCACACTGCAGGCTGCTGTGGTTGAGTGCTGCTGCTAGTTAGGCACCAGATGAACAAAGTCCCTTAGCTTCTCTGAGCATTGGTCTTTTCATCTGAAAGCAGGGTGGTTGGCCTGGAAGATTTCTCAGGCACTTCCAGATTTGACATTCTAGGACAATGTGGGTCATGCTGTCCTGCATCTGGAACTGCTACTAGGTAAAGAGCTAACCTGAACTCTCAGGGCCACCGCAGGGTAGTGTGGGAGGCAGTACCAGCCATATGAAACTGCCCTGGAATGGAGAGAGGAGCTTAATTGGGAGATCTCACACTTACCTGACCAGGGATGCACACAGCTGGACTGGCACCTGTTGTACCCATATTTTTAACACCATCTTTCACCTGCATGAGAATTGCTTGTGTGTGTGTGTCAGTGGGGAGGTATGAAAGGCCTTTCCTGGCCACAGGGAAGATGTCTTCCTCCCAACCAGAGAGAGCCCATATCCCTGATTGTCTCATCCTCCTTGCTACTCTCATACCCGAAAGGTCTGCAGCAGTGCTGCGGTCTGGCAGGCTGAGAGGCGTGACAGTTCTGGGGCCAGGCAGGAACAGGCCCCAACCAGGACTCTCCTAGGAATGGCCTGGAGTGTCTGGGGGCTGAGGCCTGGCAGCAGAAGGTGCAAGGAGCAGAGTTCCTCCAGGGATAGCTAAAGAGCAAGAGAGACAAGGCCTAAAGAAGGAGGGAAGGGTGGTGGGGAAGACAACAATCACAAGGCAGCAAGGCAGTAAGTACGAGGGGAGCGGAGAGGGAGGAGGGGCAGATGGAGGAGCCAGGGAAAAAGGGGAGACCTCTGGTGGGAGGCTGAGAAGTTGCTGCTACTCACATCCTGCCTGGGGAGGAGCCGTCCAAGCAGCAGGGCAGCCTGTGTAGGGATGGGACCAAAAACAACAGCTCTCAGGACCCAGCAGCCAGGTCCTTAGCAGCCTTCCTAAGGCAAGCCCTCCAAAACTTCCCGCTCCCTCTTAACCATCCCCAGTAACCATCCTCAGTGACTCAGGTACCTTCTTGACCTGAGGAAGGGAATGAAGGTGTCCTCCTGCGGACAGTTTACCTCTACTATTCACCCAGGGAAAGGAGGGGCTGGTTTTTTCCCTGAATGTGATTCTCTCGACTGGAGCTCAAGCGGGGATGGAGGGTGAATGCCAGGGAGTAAGACAGGCAAACCTGAGCAGGTGTAACACTAGTTCCCTGCAGGACAGGAAGCATGGCTCTGAGCTGGGGCTCTGACAGCTCCTGCAGGAAGCGGAGGCCCAGCTGAGGAAAGAGAGGGGCCCAGACCTGCAGTTCCCGGGGGCTCAGGACTGCTCCTCCAGATGAGCGCAACACCCCCAGAAGTTCATATGCCACCTGTAACCAAAGAAGGTTTGGGACTGGAGAGAAAAGACAGATGAACCTTCTTCCTCTCTCAATTTCCCAGGGCCTGGGCTAGGGTTTGGATTAGGTTCAAAATGGCAAAGGGTATGTTTGGGGTGCCACAGACCAGATAGGGAAGGGCCAGAAAGAGGTGGCATCAGGTAAAAATGGCTGTGGAGTAAGGAATGGTGGTTGCAAAAGTGGAATGGGGGCTGGCACCACTGTGCTCAAGCTTGGTTGACACAATGGGAAAGCCATCCACAGAGACCCAGGGGAAGCCTAGAGTTTTGCAGGCTTGTGCTAAGGGGCTCACCCGTCCTTCTGGGCTGAGGGTCCCGTTGGCTGCACATTCCAGCAGCCCCCGTTCTACCGGCCCCATCGGATCATTCAGGGGTACTAGGCTCTGCAGCTCCTCAGGGCTCAGGAAACAGGCGAGGGGCCCAAGCCTGAGGAGGGCATGAAGCTGACTTTCATGTGGTCCCTGGGGCTGGCACTAAGGCAGGCCTGGCAGCAGATGGTGTGGGTACATACACTGGGCACTTTGACCACTATACCACTATACACCATCTATAGACCTCTCTCCTGGAACTCTATGCTGCCTGGGGCCACTGCCTACTCTCTTGCCCCTTCCTTCCTAAAACACTGACCCACCATGACATCTGTACCTTCCTCTCTCTACCTCTTTCACTCTTGCCTTGATCACTGATCCGATGACAACTCACCTGCGTACCTGCTCCTCGCCATCCTGGACACTCTGGTTTACCAGGCTGCGCAGCACATGGCGGGCATGCCCTGGCCCCAGACCTGCTGCTGGCCAGCTATCCTCCAGGGCCTGGATCTGAGATGGGGAAGGTCAGCTCACACTGGGGTCACTGTGGAGCTCTTGCAGGGAGGTGCCACTGAGAGACATGCCATTGACTCTCATCCCCCCTAGCAGAAGATGGGCCAGTCAAGTAGAGAAGATGATTCTCATACCTGGTGAGGGCTGAGCTGCAGAAAGTTCTCGAGAGGGAGGTGGGGGAGCAGGGGCAGCACTGCCCACAGCAGCTCCTGGGGCCAGGCAGGCACTTCCCCAAATAGTTCAGGGGCCAGCAGTCGCTTTGCCAGAGCCTCCTTCTGTTCAGTCCTCATTCCTGGGCTGTAATCCCGGATGGCAGCCAGGCTGTGGGAAGTAATGGGTCTTAACCCTTTGTCTTCTTCCAAACTGTTTTTCCTTGGCCCTCTGTAGCCCTGGTGTCTAGATAGGAAGGAGACTCTCCCTGGTTTTAATAGAGAGGAGCTCTCTGATCCTTTTGTAGTTCATCAGCATGATGATTGGGTTTTCACACTCAGGTGTGAGATGTGCCTCTCTCAAACCTTGTTACATGTTGGCACATTACCTATCTGGCACGAAAGAAAAAAACAGAGAGGAGCTCTGGAAGGGGTTGCTCCAGGTGGATGGGGTTGCTGGCTTGATCCTGACAGGAGCAGGATGAGTGGTGCAGGAAACTTACACACTGTCGTTCGCTAACAGGGATGGTGGGAAGCGCATCAGGTCAGAGACGGCCAAGAAAGGGATAAGTGGTGACAGGTCAATGAAGAGCTGGGAGGTGAGGCGAGGGTACCGCTGGAGCAGCAGGGCTGTCAGGCGACCCAGGGCCTGCTCCTCAGATGGTGGTACCTGTTGGGGAACAGGAATGGATTCTGGCTCTGAAGATGCTCAGTACCCCTGCCATTTCCTCTCTGGAGTTCCTCCTCCCACTAAGGCAAGTCCTCTGAACACTAGGCTCCAGGTGCCCTTGCTCCCCTTTCCCTCTATGCTCACCTTCAGCTTCCCCTGCAACATGAGGGTCAGGAAGCCCTGCGCAGCCTCCCTCTCTGCTGAAAGCACCAGCTGCTGGAGGTTTTCTGGGGGCATATGCAGGTACGCCTGCAAATAGCAGGTCATGGCAGGTATGGCCTCAGGGAGCAGGGACCTCCAGCCAGGCTGTCACCCAGCCCACCCTTGTGCCCTCCACTAGAATTGTTACCTGCACTAGAATCTTCAGGGCCCAAACACTCTTTTCCCTCTGAAGCAGATCCCACAGCACAGGCTGGTGGGAAGAAAAACAAGATGCCAACAGAGCTGTCTTCTTTGTCTCTCTTGCAGCTCCAGAGGGATTCCAACTCCACTTGCTGGGATGCTTGTCCTTCATTTCAAGTGTGATTCTTCAGCTATTAAGCTCGTTTAGGTCCAAGATAATGTCTCTAATTTCTCTCATACCCTTTCCCATGCCAGGTTCATAGTTGGCTCAATAAATACTTGTAGACCTGAACCAAATACTATGACTATCTAATTCCCTTTTACTGGGCCCAGGGCTTGAAAAAAGGTGGTCCTAACATGGAGTAAGGAGTCTATATATATCCTACAGAACCTAGCAAAGTACCTTGCATATAACACCCTCAGTGAATGAATTGTGGTATTAACATGTTCTAACCCCTCCATTCTGCAGAGTAAAAACTGAAGCCCAGAAAAACTAAATTAAATTGCTTGCCTAAGGTCACACTAATTTGTGGCAACGTTGAACCTAGAACCAAAGTCTTCTGATCGGTAGTGTCCCTGAATCTTTCTCATTCTTGTCTTATCTTCCTGTATTCGGCCAGCCTCCAATTCTCACTCTCTAGGGGAAAAGCTAGAGTCCTCTAACTTGATTCCTTTTCTTTCTGGTGCAGAAAGGCAGAGAGTCAAAGAGCCCAAACGAATAGCAAGGTAACATTTACTGCACGTTTATCTATGATGCACTGTGCTAAGCACACAGCATGTATTATCTCATATACCATTATCATCCCCAGTTTGTAGATGAGAAAACTATTGTTCAGAGAAGTTAAACAATTCATTCAAGGGTGGTCACAGAACCAAGATACGAATCCAAGCCTGTATGACTCTAGAGCTGTGTGCTCAAACTACTACCCTATACTACTGCCTCTCAGTATTCGAGGAATTCCCCTGGAGGCCCTTCTCACTGTTTTAGGAGCTTTCACTCTGGCAGATCACTCACACTAAAGCAGGCCAGCAGCTCCATCTTGTTTATACCAGAGCTGGGGTTGACAGTGGGTTCAAAGCCTGGTGGTGTTGGTTGCTCCTCCTCTTGTTCCAGGTATTCCCCAATCGTCCGTAGCACACTGCGCCGGCCCTCTGGGCGGAAGGCATCCCAGAAGGAGCAGTTGTCTGGGAGACTAGAGAGGAGTAGGGCCCGACCCAGCATCCCCTGGGCCTCAGCCCCTCCAGCCCCTGGACCCAAGAGGAAGGTCAGCAGGCGCAGGAGATAGTGTAGGCGTGTGGGGTGAGCAAGGGCTGGCACAGAGGACTGACAGCGTGGCAATTGGGATAGCAGGCCAAGCAGGAAGGGCCCAGGGGCCAGACAGAGTGGGGATGGTCCCAGTGGTGGCAGAGAGGGCAGAAGGGGACCCAGCAGCCCTTCTAGGAAGCAAGTGTCATTGCCCCCACGGCTTATCCTGCATTGGCCTGCTAGCCAAGGCCAGAAGGGCACCAGGGACTCATACATGGTGTCATTGGCACAGACCATCACCAGGAAGCTGCCCCCATTTGGGCAGCGTTCCCCACAGGGTCCAATGTGGCAGGGTGGGGAGGCAGTGACATCTAGGGTGGGGCCCTGGCAGATATGCTGCACCCAAGCCTGGTTGCTGGGAGGCACAGCCTGTAGACTTGCCTCCCCACACAGCCGCTCAGCCCACAGAGTCTTATTCTCCAAGAAGCAGCCCCAGAAGATGTCTGGGGTGAGGGGAACAGGGGGCAGGCCTTCAGGGCAGCTGGTAGGGGGTGGGAGCAGGCCAGCACAGAGCCGCTTTACCAGGCGGCGGGTGGAGCCAGACAGGGCTGAAAAGGAGAGATTGCTACAGATTGCATCCAGAAACTCATCAGGAAACTGGTCATGGCAGGCCTGTAGCCAGCCTTGAGCACCTGGTGCCCATGAGACTGCATACCACACAGCTGTCTGGCAGATGGCAGTGGTGCTGAGAGGGGGCTGTGGAGTGGCAGGCTTGGTGTGCTGGCAGAGCAAGTGGATGGAGAAGTTGGAAATGCTGTAGGGTGGTGCTGGGCCTGATTGGTTCTCACAGAGGGCCTCCACAGTGATGGCTCGCCGTTGGCGTGGGCTGATGTGGGCTGAGGGCTGAGAAGCTCTGGGCAGAGGCACACCCGTGCTCAGGCAGTGGAGGAGCGCGGGGGGTGGGGGTGGTGATCCAGACAGAAATCCCAACGCCTGGACATCCCAGGAAAGGTTGTGCCGGATGCCCCTGGGTACAGAGGGAGGAACAGGCAGGATCTGGTCAGTTCACATTTCCTCCAGCTGAAGATTCTGACCCTGACCTAGAGCCCCTCATGGGACATGGCAAGCATGGGCTTTTTTACAAGTGAGGTTCCTGAGAGTTTAGGCATTAGTGGCTGAAATGTTGCAAGGGGGCAAAAGGGAGAGAGCTGCCTTGCCAAGGCCTAAAATCACCTAGGAGAAGACCCAGTTGGTATTCTTTCTGTCCATGTGGCCCCTTTCTGCTTCCTTTCTTCACATGCTTTTAGATAGCTTTAACACAACCCTCAGCGGGCCTCTTGTCAGGAAATCTGCTCAGCAACTCAGTATGTCTAACTATGCTCTGGCACTGTTGTACTTAAGTGGTAAGGGGGTAAAGGAATCCATTTGTGTCCTTATTTTTCATATCCCATCTTTATTAGCTAACATATTAACCACTACGAGCCAGCAGTGTTTTAAGTTGTTTGCATATACAGTATCAACTCATTTAATCCGGTGCAACAACTCTGTGGTAACTAATATTATCATTCTTGTTTTATAAATGGGGAAACTGAGGTATAGAAAGACTATGTAACCTGCTCGAGGTCATATGGCTAGGAAGAGGTGGAGCTGGGACACCAGCTCACTCCAAAACCACTAAACCACACTCCTCCCATCAGTTTCCACTTGCTCTCTGGAGGCTCATGTCTTCAGCTCTCCACCTCCAGACTTCCCAGGCCCATTCCCTCAGAAGTGGCCCGCTATTACTTACCATAAAAGCAGCTGTTGAAGGTTACCTGGAGGAAAAGAGTAAGGAAAAGAACTACCCCAATCTCACTTTTCTTGCCCTGCCACATCCCAACTCCAGCCCTGGCCACACTCACCTCCCTGGCACTGCCCATTGGAATCAGGCTCTGGCTGCCCCAGAATGGAAAACACCTCATCCTGCAGGGAGTGAGTGATGCGGAGCAGGCCCTCCTGAAAGGCAGCATAGAGGGGGGCCCCCACTGTGCGTAGCAGACCGCCCCAAAGAGCCTCCTCGGAGCCTAGTTCCCCTGTTGGGGTTAGCAAACCCAACAGACCCTGCAAAAAGTGAGGAGTTGGCTCCCTCCCATTGAGGCCTGTGGCGTTGGTGGGGTCTGCACTGGGCTGCACCTGCACCAGAGCCTGCCAGCGTGTGCCCTCTAACAACAGAAGCAAAGAAGGCAACCAGTCAGCAGCCAGGACACAGTCAGAGGGCCCATCACGGGTACATGGGGGCCGTGTTGGGGTAGAGGGACCCCCAGGAACTAAGGCTCCCAGCAGCACCTCTATGAGTCCACCCAGCACCCCTGCCTGGTGCACCAAGAAATCTCGGGGAGTCTGCTCCTGTCCCAGCAGTGCCAGCACATCCCCCAGCAGCCCTAGCACTGGCTCCCAGTCAGGGCTGCCTCTCAGTGTCACTAGAAAATCATGGAGCCGGAGAGCAGGGGGCTGGAGAGGTGGGGGCTCTCCTACTGGTCCCTCCCCCATTCTCCCAGGCTCAAAGGAAGACATGTTCGCCAGGAATGTAGAGAACCGTGAGTGGCTAATGGAGCCCTGGGGAGCCTGGTCCAGAGTGGAGAGCAATGACTTCAGGAAGGAGAGACCAGGGTCCAGGGACTGAGGCCCAGTAGGGGCCAGAGTCACTGTAAGAAGAGAAACCGGAGGTTACTAAAGAGCAGGAACCTAGAGCCCAAAGAGTCCTGCCCCTGAGCACCATTCCCTACCTGGATCTAAAGATGAGGTGAGAGGATGGTGAGCTGAGCCCTGTTGGTTGGCCCACTGTAAGTCTTGGCCTACCTTTCTTAACCCTCATTGTCTCCCTTTGCACAAGTCTCTGCCTCCCTCCTTTGTCCTTTTATCTAACAGGTTAACCTCCACATTCTTGATGTCTTTTTCTAGCCACCCTCCTCCTCCTTTTCCCCAGTTCTGCTCACTGTTCTCACCTGCGCAGGACAGCAGCAGCAGCAGTGGCCAGAGGCTCAAAGCCATGTTTCCAGGTGAACGCTGCTACTGGAGGTGGTGAGTCCTGGTTATTCTCACCTGTGGGATAGCCAGATGAGGGCAGGCACTGCAGGCAGCCTGAGGCTCCACTGACACTGTAGTGTGGTCTTTCAGCAAACAATATCTGTAACCTGACAGCAGGTTTGTTACCTGAGCCACTGAATATCTGATCCTTTGGCTCTGGAGAAGGGTATGCTTCTGTGAGAGGGACCAATGATAGGGGATCCCAGGGGCCCCTCAGAGGAACCCAAGGAGATAGCTTGAGTTAGGAGCCAGTGATGCAGAAAGGAATAGGCAGACATGAAGATGGAGAACTGGAGACCTGGGGAGTAATCTGGGGTTTTGCAGAAACACAGAAAACAAAGAGGATATGAAGGAGCTAAGAAGCAAGAAGGATTTGAGGAAACTGAGGAAGAAAGGACACCCAGGAGAAAGAAACAGGGCAGCGAGGTATAAACAGATGAGAAATGAAGACAGAGGTCTGGTCCAAGGAAGGAGAATTCAAGAAGAGGAGAGCTGCTTTCAATTCAGTACTCAGAACCACAGAATGTCAAGAGCTGAGCAGTACCCCAGAGATCACATAGACCAAACTTTTCAATTTATGGATAAAGAAACAGACCAAGAGAAACGTGATTTACTCATTACACCATTCAAATGTTTGGGTCTTCCCTTTGGTTCTCTCTCTGTGGCCTAGGTGAAAGCCCTATCAAAAATTCTGAGGCAAGAAGAGATAAACCAGATTAAATCACTACACACAGGGACTGATCTTTCAACACACAGAACTGCTCATAGAACAGAGAGAGAGAGAGACATTTCATTCAAAATAATCTGGTTTGGTCAGGGTTAGAAGTCTTTCTTGTTGTTGTTGTTGCTTTGTTTTCTGTTTGTTTGTTTTTGTTTTTTGAGACAAAATCTCTCTCTGTTGCCCAGGCTGGAGTGCAGTGGGGCTATTTCACCACTGCAACCTCTGCTTCCCAGGTTCAAGCGATTTTCCTGCCTCAGCCTCCTGAGTAGCTGGGATTACAGGCACCTATCACCATACCAACCTAATTTTTGTATTTTTAGTAGAGATGGGGTTTTGCCATTTTGGCCAGGTTGGTCTTGAACTCCTGACCTCACATGGTCCACCCACCTCGGCCTCTCAAAGTGCTGGGATTACAGGTGTGAGCCACTGCACCTTTTTTTTTTTTTTTTGAGACAGAGTCTCACTCTGTCACCCAGGCTGTAATGCAGTGGCAGAATGTCAGCTCACTGCAACCTCTGCCTTCTGGGTTCAAGCAATTCTCCTGCCTCAACCTCCTGAGTAGCTGGAGACTACAGGCATGCACCACCACGCATGGCTAATTTTTATATTTTTTGGTGGAGACAGGGTTTCATCATGTTGCCCAGGCTGGTCCTGAACTCCTGACCTCAAGTGATTTGCCTGCCCTGGCCTCCCACAGTGCTGAGATTACAGGCTTGAGCCACTGCCCCAGGCCAGGATTAGAAGTCTTTTCCATTCTCCATTTATATCTCCCCAAATGCCTTCACTCGACACCAGCTCTAAATAACAACTCAACACTGAGGCTACACCCAAACTTTTATTCTGTCTTTCTTTCCTTAGAACCCTTCCCCATTCTCTCCCCCAAATTCACACATTGAACTACATTATTCATGTGCTTCTGTCTTAGAAATTTCACTTATTTAATTAAATAAGTGAAATTAATTTAATTAACTAAATTTATTTAATTAAATAAGTGAAATTAATTTAATTTAATTAATTAAATTTATTTAGAGACAGGGTCTTGGTCTGTGTCCCAGGCTGGAATATAGCGGTGTGATCCTAGCTCACTGCACCCTCGAACCCCTGGGCTCAAGCGATCCTCCTGCCTTGGCCTCCCAGGATCATAGAAGAGACCTGAGGAATCCTCTGGTAAGAACTTCTCATTTTGGCTGGGCACGGTGGCTCGCACCTATAATCCCAGCACTTTGGGAGGCCGAGGCAGGTGGATCACGAGGTCAAGAGACCATCCTGGTCAACAAGGTGAAATCCCGTCTCTATTAAAAATACAAAAAGTAGCTGGGCATGGTGGTGCATGCCTGTAGTCCCGGCTACTCAGGAGGCTGAGGCAGGAGAATTGCTTGAACCCAGAAGGCGGAGGTTGCGGTGAGCCAAGATTGTGCCATTGCACGCCAGTCTGGGTAACAACAGTGAAACTCCATCTCAAAAAATAAAAAAAGAACTTCTCATTTTATAGACAGGAGAACTGAAGCCCAAAGAAATGGAATGACTTAACCCAGGTCACAAAGGGAGCTGGAAGCAATGCTGGGATTTTCCAAGGCAAATCAAAAGTTGGGATCAGTGAAATTATCTATTGCATAATTTTACCAATACTCCCTTTGCCCATCAGGGATACCACATCTAGTCTAAAAAAGCAGACAGATGAATCCAAGGGAGAATATGACTTGAGTTCCCAACAGCTTTCTGGTTCCAGCCCATTCTGTAATCTACCTGAATTTCTGCTCTTCATTCTGTAACAACCCTCTTATAACAAATTATCTTTTCTTGCTCATAGGATAGCAAAAATTGAGAAGGCCTAGGCTCAAATCCTGGTTCCAACATTTACTAGCTGTGTGTCCTGGGGCAGTTTCTAAATCTCTGCCACAGTATTTTTTGTGTTTTTTAATTTTTGTTTTGTTTTGTTTTTTACTGTAAAATGAAAAAAATCCTAGTGTAGAGTTTTTGTGAGAATTAAATTAGAAAATGCATTTAAAGTACTTAGTGCAATATCTGGCATTCACTCAACAAAGATTAAGCAATTATTATGCGCCAGACACTGGTACAAAATAAACATTCACTCCATGTTACTATTACTATTATTAGAATAGCTCCAGATGAATTCTTCTACTTGAAACTAAAGGAGTTCTGATGAATACATAAATTATTATCTGGAAGTTGTATCTTGAGTGAAAGACCTTCAGAAGAAATACGGAACTAGTTGAGTCAAGCAGAGAGAGGAACAATGAGGATTCCCTCAACTTAGGATGGAAAATTTCCTGGCAGTTCTCGTTCTGCTGTTGTAAAACATTGATTAAGCAATTTTCTTGCTGCTGAGGATTCAGACTATGTGCAAACTGAGGATGAAGTGCTTAGGGTTTACGGCAAATATACCAGGGCTATTTGAGTGTACTGGTTACTGCTTATAGTTTGATAAAGTTCAATGAGAGTGAGACAAATTCCAGCCTACAGATGACCAAATGGAAACAGAGAACAATGAGCAAATTGAAAATTACAAGGGTCCAGAACAAGAAATTAATCATGTGTCCTGCTAAAGTAAAATGGATTAACACTGTTGACAGCTGGAACTGCTAAAGTGAAATGGATAACACTGTTCACAGCTGGAACATTCTGCGATCTGCCAATTAGAATGCATATACCCGGAAAGAGCCACAGGAGTTGAGAACTCTGAAACATCCTCACTCCCTAGAACTTCCACAGGGCACTCTCTTACTCTCTGCCTGACAAGAACAGATGTGCCTTCAGACAATTTGCCTACCTTGGCCTCCCAAAGTGCTAGGATTACAGGTGTGAACCACTGTGCCCAGGCAGGTGCCTCCCTTTGTAAAGTATAATTATTTTTCTCTTTTTTGGGTTTGCCTTTTGTAACTTAAATATTTATTGCTTACTAAATACCTAGGTATTCGTCACATTTCCCAGATCTCTTGCAGTTACATGGGCTCAGGTGATTAGTTCTGTTCAATGGACTGTGGTCGACCAAAGAATTTAAGAGCTAGCAAATGAGCCTCCAAAAATATCTTCCCTATTGAGGAAACCTAGAAACTAAATGTTGAGACGGCAGTGTCACAAGGTCAAAATAGCCCGAGGTTCCAAATTGCCACAGCATTTATAGTCAGTCCTTGTCATTTGTGAGTTATATATTTGTAGATTTGCCTAGTCACTGAATGTGTTTGTAACCCAAAGTCAATGCTTATGGTGCTAATGAGGTCATTCACAGACTTGTATTGAGAGGTGACAAGTTCGAGTCACCTGATACGTTCCCAGCTGAGGTAGAACAAGGCAATGCTCTGCCTTCTTGCGGCAGCTCTCATGGTGTAAATATTAGTGTCTTTTTTGTTGTCTATCTAATGATGTACTTTTTGCATTTTTGGGCTACTTGTTGGTGATTTCACTGTTTAAAATAACCCTTAAACTTAATGCCAAAGTGTTGTGTGGGGTTCTTTAGTGCCTTATAGAGAAAATGTGTGCTAGGAAAGCTTTGTTCAGGCATGAGTCACAGTGCTGTTGGCCATGAGTTCAACGTTAATAAATCAACAACATATATTAAATAAAGTGTCTATAAACAACAACGCAAAGAAAACTAAGGTTATATAGTTGATCAGTTGATGAAAATGTGGTGGCCAGAGGCCCAAAGGAACCTAACCCTGCATTTCCCCTGGGAACAGTGATTCAGTAGTCACTAATTCAGTTGTTTGCAGCATTTTTATAAAACATAACTATTACAAATAATAAACGTTTACTATACCTTGAACAGTTACCCAACCAGTACTGGAAACTTCATGAGTGAATAATAAGCCTTTCTTACACTAAACCACTGAGATTTAGGGGTTAATTTATTCTTGCAGCACAACCTTTGACTCTCCTGATTAAGATAGTTAAATTATGTTTCATTTTGATATCAGGCCCCTGAATTCTAGGTCTTCATTCCATATTTATTAGTCTGGTGACCCCAAGAGGTTTCCATAATTCACTTATCTGTAAAATGGAGATACTATTACTCACCCACCCAATTTTGCTCATTCACTTATATTATAAAGTGTCTATGATGTGCCAGGTACTGGGACAGATCCACTAAATCTTACCACCACTATGATTAGACTAGCTCAAGATGAATTATTCTTCTGCAGCTTAATCTTTTTTTTTTGAGATGGAGTTTTGCTGTTGATGCCCAGGCTGGAGTGCAATGCACAATCTCGGCTCACTGCAACCTCTGCCTCCTGGGTTCAAGTGATTCTCCTGCCTCAGCCTCCCAAGTAGCTCGCTACCATGCCTGGCTATTTTTTGTATTTTTTAGTAGAGAAGGGGTTTTGCCATGTTGGCCAGGCTGCTCTCAAACTCCTGAACTCAGGTGATCCGCCTGCCTCGGACTTCCAAAGTGCTGGGATTATAGGTGTGAGTCACCACGCCCGACCAACTTAAAGAATTTTAATACAAAAATTGGTACAAGAAATAGCACCTTAAGTCAAAGATCTTTAGACAAAATACAGAAAAAATTAAGCAGTGAGGAGATCTTTGAGGACTCCCCCAACCCACAGAAATTGTTTGGCAGTTCTTATTGAAATTAGAATAGGAAGAACAGGTTGGAAGAAGTGATAATAAGTTCAGTTTTGGACATATTATAACACAGTGGTAACCCTGTCTCTAAAAAAAATTTAAAAAAATTAGCCAGGTGTGGTGGTATGGGCCTGTAGTACTCTCAAGAGCCTGAGACAGGAGGATCACTTGAGCCCAGTAGATCAAAGCTGCAGTGAGCTATGATTGCACCACTGCACTTCAGCCTGGGTGAAAGAGCAAGACCCTGCCCAAAAACAACAAAACAAAAACAAACAAACAACAACCAGAAAACAGGGGAGGAGATAAAAGTACTGTCTTCATGGAAGTTTTATTATTTGATCATAAGAGGAACTAGTTAGGATGGACAGGAATTTCTCTTTTGTTCACTCATTGATATATCCCAAGTGTCTAGAATAATGTTTGGAACATACAAACTCAACAAATCTGCTAAATAAACTTCCATTCCTGTAGAAAAAGGCCAGATTGTTTTCATTGAGGAAAGAGTTAAAGAATCAAAAGCAGAATGCATAGACCACTGGAAGATATGAGCTATAGAAAGGCAGGAACGGGTGGGCGCAGTGGCTCACGCCTGTAATCCCAATACTTTGGGAGGCCAAGCACGGTGGATTACTTGAGGCCAGGAGTTCAGCACCAGCCTGGCCAACATGGCAAAAATGTGACTGTACTAAAAATACAAAAATTAGCCAGGCAGGGTGGTGTGTGACTGCAGTACCAGTTACTCGGGAGGCTGATGCACAACAATCACTTAAACCCAGGAGGTGGAGGTTGCAATGAGCAGAGACTGTGCCTCTGTACTCCAGCTTGGGTGACAGAGCGAGACTCCATCTCAAAAAAGTCAGGAAGAGACTGATTAAAAGTCAGGAAGAGTAATAATAAAACTCCAGTCTCTTCCACAGTCAGCTCTGTGTGGGAAAAAGAAAGAAAAGAGAGGAGGAGAGAAAGAGGGAGACAGAGAAAGTGGGAAAGAGGAAGGAAGGAAGGAAGGAAGGAAGGAAGGAAGGAAGGAAGGAAGGAAGGAAGGAAGAAGGGAGGGAGGAAGTGAAGGGAGAGAAAGAGAAAGATAGAGAAAGAAAAAAAGAGAGAGAGAAAGAGAAAAGAAAAGAAAAGGAAGAACAGAAAAGAAAGTCAGCAGGGTACATCCGTGTAATGTCCGGGGGGAAAAAAAGAGGAGGGAACATTCACCAAATACCTATAAAGCAGTGCCTCTGAATCTTCTTTTTTTGACAACCTCTGATGCCCAGGTTCAAGCAATTCTCCTGCCTCAGCCTCCCGAGCAGCTGCGATTAGAGATGCCTGCCACTGCACCTGACTAATTTTTGTAGTTTTAGTAGAGACGGGGTTTCACCATTTTGGCCACAGCTGGTCTTGAACTCCTGACCTTATGATCCACCTGCCTCAGCTTCCCAAAGTGCTGGGAATACAGGCGTGAGCCACTGCACCCAGCCGATGTTGAATCTTTTATGTGCAGCTACATAATCTGATTCAATAGGCCTAAGGGATGGGGCCTGAGATTCTATACTTTTTTTTGAGATGGAGTCTCGCTCTGTCGCCCAGGATGGAGTGCAGTGGCATGATCTCGGCTCACTGCAACCTCTGCCTACTGGATTCAAGCAATTCTCCTGCCTCAGCCCTGAGTAGCTGGGAGTACACGTGCGCATCACCACACCCAGCTAATTTTTGTATTTTTAGTAGAGACACAAGTTTCACCATGTTCGTCAGGTTGATCTTGAACTCCTGACCTTGTGATCCACCTGCCTCAGCCTCCCAAAGTGCTGGGATTACAGGCATGAGCCACCACACCCAGCTTCCAAACTTTTTTTAGTTATTTTTTTTTTTTTTAGCCTTGTGGTATTTAAAGAGATTCTAAACTTTTTTTTTTTTAGATAAACTTTCGCTCTTGTTGCCCAGGCTGGAGTGCAATGGCACGATCTCGGCTCACCACAACCTCCACCTCCCGGGTTCAAGCTATTCTCCTGCCTCAGCCTCCCAAGTAGCTGGGAGTACAGGCATGTGCCACCACACCTGGCTTATTTTGTATTTTTAGTAGAGACGGGGTTTCTCCATGTTGCTCAGGCTGGTCTCAAACTCCCGACCTTGGGTGATTCGCCAGCCTTGGCCTCCCAAAGTGTTGGGATTACATGTATGAGCCACTGCACCCAGCAGAGATTCTACACTTCTGACAAGTGACCAGATGAAGCCAATTCTGCTGGCCTTCAGACCACACTCAGCAATGCTACTCAAGAGCATCTCCTTTGTGGATAATATATGTAAGATTTATGAAATAATGCTTCCTTATTGTTTTATTATGTTTATTATATTGATTGCCAAATTCAATGGATGATGCTCCAGTCCAGCTCTTATTTATTTATTTATTTATTTATTTATTGAGATGGAGTCCTGCTCTTCACCAAGCTGGAGTGCCATGGCGCAATCTTGGCTCACTGCAACTTCTGCCTCCCAGAGATTCAAGCAATTCTCTTGTCTCAGCCTCCCAAATAGCTGGAACTACAGGTATGCGCCACCAAACCCAACTAAGTTTTGTATTTTTAGTTGAGATGAGGTATCACCATGTTGGCCAGGATGGTCTCGATCTCTTGATCTCATGATTCGCCCGCCTCGGCCTCCCAAAGTTCTGGGATTATAGGCGTGAGCCACCGCGCCCAACCCAGTCCAGCTCTTATAGGACCATTCCTTTCTTAAAATTCTGTCTTGGCTCTAGGGACATTGCTCCAAATGGTTATCTTTCTGTCTCTTCATCTATTCCCTCTCATGCTTCTTTGCTGGCCTTACTTTCTCTTTCTATCCTTTAAACATGTTTCTCAGGTTTCTGTTGTCAGCCTTTTCTTCTAATAATTTGTTTGAGAGAGTCTTGCTCTGTCACCCAGGCTGCAATGTGCTGGCTCATTCACAGCTCACTGCAGCCTTGACTTCCAGGCTCAAGCCATCCTCTCACCTCAGCCTCTTGAGTAGCTGGGACCACAGACACATGCCACCACCACACCTGGCTAATTTTTTGTGTGTGTGTGTGGAGATGGGATCTCACTATGTTGCCCAGGCTAGTCTTGAACTCCCGGGCTCAAGCAATGCTCCTGCCTCAACCTCCCAAGTAGGTGGAATCACGGGCATGGGCCACCAACCACATCCAGCCTTTAAAAAAAAAAACTGTTGGGCCAGGCGAGGTGGCTCAAGCCTGTAATCCCAGCACTTTGGGAGGCCGAAGCAGGTGGATCACAAGGTCAAGAGATAGAGATCATCCTGGTCAACATGGTGAAATCCTGTCTCTACTAAAAATACAAAAAATTAGCTGGGCATGGTGGCACGTGCCTGTAATCCCAGCTACTCAGGAGGCTGAGGCAGGAGAATTGCCTGAACCCAGGAGGCGGAGGTTGCGGTGAACCGAGACCACGCCATTGCACTCCAGCCTGGGTAACAAGAGTGAAACTCCATCTCAAAAAAAAAAAAATGTTTTGTAGAGACGGGTCTCACTGTGTTGCCCAGGGTGGTCTTGAACACCTGGCCTTAAGTGATCCTCCCATGTTAGCCTTCCAAAGGGTTGGGATTACAGGTGTGAGCCACTACATCTGACCCTAATAGTATTAAATGTTATCTTCGACTATTGTTACCTCTAATTCTATTTGATTCCTTTGGGATTTCTAGGTATAAAATCATATTTTTAGTTCTTTCTAAATATTTATGCCATATTAGTTTATTCCATATTAAGTTCTTTCCAAATATTTATGCTATATTTCTTATGATAATCAGGATTTCTAATCAATGTTACATATTGCAGTTTATTTTTAAAACATTTTTGATTTCTTCCTCATTTTATGGGGAATGAAATGATTTTCCTTGAAATGTTAATATTGATTCTTGGTTTTAGATAATCTTTACTTCATTTAAAAAATTCAGATATAATTCATATAAAATTCACCATTGTGTGTGTGTGTGTGTGTGTGTGTGTGTGTGTGTTTTGAAACAGAGTCTCACTGTTGTTACCCAGGCTGGAATGCAGTGGTACAATCTTGGCTCACTGCAACTTTCACCTCCTGGGATCAGCCTTCCAAGTAACTGGGACTTCAGGTGTCCACCACACCTGGCTAATTTTTGCTTTTTTGGTTTTTTTTTGGTAGAGATGGGGTTTTACCATGTTGCCCAGACTGGTCTCAAACTCCTGAGCTCCAGTGATCCACCCACCTCAGCCTCCCAAAGTGCTGGGATTCCAGGTATGAACCACTGTACATAGGCAAATTCACAATTTTAATGTGTACAATTCAGTGTTATCTTTTATTTTACTTTATTTTTGAGACAGAGTTTTGCTCTTGTTGCCCTGGCTGGAGTGCGATGGTACAGTCTCAGCTCACTGCAACCTCTGCCTCCCAAGTTCAAGCAATTCTTCTCCCTCAGTCTCCTGAGTAGCTTGGATTACAGGCACCCGCCACCATGCCTGGCTAATTTTTGTATTTTTAGTAGAGACAGGGTTTCATTATGTTGGCCAGGCTGGTCTCGTACTCCTGACGTCAGGTGATCTGCCTGCCTCGGCCTCCCATAGTGCTGGGATTACATGTGTCAGCCACTGTGCCTGGCCCAATTCAGTGTTTTTAAATATATTATGTTGTTCTGTAATTCCAGCACTTTGGGAGGCCGAGGCAAGTGGATCATGAGGTCAATAGATCAAGACCAACCTGGCCAACACAGTGAAACCCTGTCTCTTTTAAAAATTCAAAAATTAGCTGGGCATGGTGGCACCTGCCCGTAGTCCCAGCTACTCAGGAGGCTGAGGCAGGAGAATTGCTTGAACCTGGAAGGCGTAGGTTGTAGTGAGCTGAGATCCCGCCACTGCACTCTAGCCTGGTGCCTGGTGACAGAGTAAGACTCTGTCTCAAAAAAAAAAAATATATATATATATATATACACATATATATATATATATATGTATTATGTTGTTGAACTATCAAGACTATCTAATTCCAGAACATTTCTATCACCCGCAAAAGAGACCCTATACCTATCATCTGTCAGTCTCAATTCCTCCCTCCCCAACCCCTGAAAAACCACTAATCTACTTTCTGTCTTCATAGATTTGTCTGTTCTGGGCTCCAGGTGTGGTGGCTCACCCCTGTAATCCCAGAACTTTGGGAGGCCAAGGCAGGTGGATCATGAGGCCAGGAGATTGAGACCATCCTGGCTAACACAGTGAAACCCCATCTCTACAAAAAATACAAAAATTAGCTAGGCATGGTAGCACATGCCTGTAGTCCCAGCTATTCAGGAGGCTGAGGCAGGAGAATTGTTTGAACCTCGGAGGTGGAGGTTGCAGTGAGCCAACATTGCACCAGTGCACTCCAGCCTGGGCAATAGAGCAAGACTCCATCTCAAAAAAAGAAAAAAAAAAGATTTGTCTATTCTGGACATTTAATTCATTTGCCTTTTCCCCATCTTGGCCTTTTTGCCTGACGTACTCTTAGGTGAGGACTTTATAATTATCTCCTTATTGTCCGTTCACCCTTTCCCTATTTAGGTAGCAACCCTTACTTAAGGTTGGGTGTTACTGACCTTACCTCCAGTTAGGAGAAAGCCTTAATTAGTGATTCCATCACATCCACCTCACCTCTACAATTGGTTCAGATGTAAGCATATGACCTAACTTCTTGATCCAATCAGAGTGGTGCTCAGGATGTGTTTGTAGAGGAATGGAGGTTGACTTACATACAGTTAATGCCCAGATTTTAAGTGTACAGTTTGTTGAATTTTTACATTTATATATACCTATGTAACCACCATGCAGATCAAGATATGGAACATTATGGCACTCCAGATGCTTCATACTTCCTCCCAATCAGTATCTTCACTTGAAGAATAACCAATAATGTGATCCAAAGCTCAAAAGCTTTGTTCATAGACTGAGAAAGGAGTCACTGGCTCTCTTCCCCTGGATATGGGTAAATAGGTATGCAAGCCTAGGAGCTTCAGAAAATTAACTGGCTACCCAAGTGAAGCCGGTCTGAGAATAAAAAGAACACGTGGAGGAGAGCGGAGATAGGAAAACTGCAGAGCAACAAAACCACAGCTCTAACAACAGTGACTTTTTACATTAAATCAATGCTAAAGCTATACTACCTTTGAACTTATCAGTCTCCAGTAAGCTATTTTATTGTTTAAATGGCTTAAACTGATTTTTTCTCAATTCAGAATTTTTAATCCGAGTTAGAACCTTAGCTCTTACTCTTATTTGGTAGGTGCTCTTCAGCAAGTTACTTAGCTTACTTAATTTCTTTAAGCCTTAGTTTTCTGATCTCTAAAAATGGGAGGCCCTCTTCCATATAAGGTTATTTTATGAAATACACATAATACTCTACATACAGTATATATATACTAAATATATAAATACCCTCATAGATGTTAAACACTCAATAGTGATATAATTTTTAATAATAGGCTGGGCGCGGTGGCTCAAGCCTATAATCCCAGCACTTTGGGAGGCTGAGGCGGGTGGATCACGAGGTCAACACATTGAGACCATCCTGGTCAACATGGTGAAACCCCATCTCTACTAAAAATACAAAAAATTAGCTGGGCATGGTGGCGTGTGCCTGTAATCCCAGCTACTCAGGAGGCTGAGGCAGGAGAATTGCCTGAACCCAGGAGGCAGAGGTTGCAATGAGCCGAGATTGCGCCATTGCACTCCAGCCTGGGTAACAGAGCGAAACTCTGTCTCAAAATAAATAAATAAATAATAAACATGTCAGCCGGGCACGGTGGCTCACGCCTGTAATCCCAGCACTTTGGGAGGCCAAGTTGGACAGATCACAAGGTCAAGAGATTGAGACCATCCTGGTCAACATGGTGAAACCCCATCTCAATAAAAAAAATAATAATAAACATGTCTAAAGACTTAAGCCTTCTAACAGTGGAATGGGATCCCTTCTAGATAATAAATCCCAAATAACTAGAAACATTAAGCATCATCTGGATAATCCTCCTTTCAGTGATGTTCTAAAGGTGTTCCTGCTTTGATGGGAGATAGATTAACTTGGAGATCCCTTCTAACCCTAAAAACCTGTAAAACACTTACGGATTTGAACACTGCTCTGAGCCATGGCAAAATGGAATAAAGGGACTTTTGGCCCAGAAACAGGTAAAAATAATATCCAATTAAAGTTAATGGTTCACAAGAGAAGCAACATCAGTAGAATAGGCAATGGAAACAATACTTCTCAATTAGTTACACTAACAGCTCTGAAGATCTCCTTACTCCACAGAGAGACCTTTAAATATGCCTCAGGGAGGGAGAGAGTAAAATTAGGACTCCAATCAGGCAGTAGAGGTTGCAGGAAGGGTGGAAGCTATAATGATAAAGTCAAGAAATGAGTCAGATTCAGGGGCTGTAGAAAGGGTAGAAAGCTAAGGAGCACATACTCCACTGGCATGAGCTAACTTATTTTTCTTTTTTAGACACAGGGTCTTGCTATGTTGCCCAGGCTGGAATGCAGTGGTATGATCCTAGCTTGCTGCAGCCTCAAACTCCTGGCCTCAAACAAACCTCCTGCCTCAGCTCATAGCTGGGACTAGAGGCATGCATCACCACACTCACCTTGAACTCTTTCGCTTGACCTTACACTTTTCAATATCCCTTATCTCAGAGACAGACTACTGAGCAGCTACCAGCAGTATTAGACACTTATACTTTTTTTTTTTGAGACAGGGTCTCACTGTGTTGCCCAGGCTGGAGTGCCACGATCTTGGCTTACTACAGCCTCCGCCTCCCAGGTTCAAATGATTCTGCTGCCTCAGGTTCCCAAGAAGTAGCTGGGATTACAAGCATCTGCCACCACACCAAGCTAATTATTTTTTTGGTATTTTTAGTAGAGATGGGGTTTCACCATGTTGGCCAGGCTGGTCTCGAACTCCTAACCTCAGGTGATCCATCCGCCTCAGCCTCCCAAATTGCTAGGATTATAGGTGTGAGCCAGCATGCCTGGCCTAGACACTTATACTTTTTAATTTTAATAAACAGACATTGTTCCATCTGAACAGGCATTTATATTTTGAAATCTCTATTTCCAACAATTCCCTTCATTATCTTTTGGTGGGCCCAAGGATATTGAAGCCATCCATTGCTTTATTTGTCTTCCAAGTTCATCAGTGCCTGTGCTGCAAAGGAAACAGACTGTGAGGCTTTAGAGCTAAGAATATTTGAAATATATAAATTTATATAAATGTTTGGTGAAGACCTTGCTTTTCTGGGTTCTGGGTTCCCACACAAGTCTTTACTTATCTCTAAATTAAGCCATATGCTTCTGTGTACTTTTTGCCATACACAAGTTTATCAGGATTAAAGAAACTACCTTGCTACATTTTCCTCCTTTTCACCCTGTCCTCCCCAGAGAATAAGTGGGAAGCCAGGGCTAAGAATGACTAGGAGGAAGAGGATTAAATTTAGGCAACATTTTGAAGCAAAGCCTATCATCTTTCACATCTTGCTCTAAATTCCGTGTTCCAATGTTGTTATAAATTCCTCTTATTGCCCACCTGGGCCTACCACACACAAACACACAGTACTCCTCCCTAATTTCTTATTTTCACATTGAGTTCATTTCTACTAGGTATGAGGGGGAAAACCCAGATAACACATTTTAAATTGTAAAAGTCTGCCCCTAACTTTTCTGCGGTTTTTGGGTTTTTTTTTTTTTTACTTTTAGAGAAAAATTTTATTAATCCAAATTAGTCATGGAGTGGTGAAATTTAGGAAAAATAACTGAATAGATAGTTATCAGTTTACATCAAACTCTACTATTTAAATCACATACTTCTCTCTATAGAGGCTGACATTAGAAGGGGCAGATACAAACAGAAGTTTATAATTCATAAACCTCTTTAGGGAGTTAGGACAGTGAGCACTTGAGGGCCTCCTGCTCACTGTCTGATCCCCCATAGCTCTCCAGCTTGAGCCTAACGCCCTGCAGCTCAATTCTGAAATGCAATCTTCAGAGAGAACAAACATGCAGAAACTGATGGGCTGCCCAAATCAAGCAAGAGCCTACCTTGTCCTAATTCCCAACAACTGGGATTAGACATTCTCTCCTGGGGAAATAAACTCTCATACCTCACAGGATTTGGGCATCCCCTGCTACAAAAGCAGATTTTAGGTTCTCTCTGTTAAAGAAAAGTGGGACACATTCCCAGAATGTGACATACTAAATCAAGAATTTGCCCATTTTAGGTGTAGGCAGAAATTGAAAAGCTGAGATGCCAGAATAGTGAACACCCTCCTCCTTCTCCACAGCTATATATGCTATATACATTCCCATGGTCCCCAGGACTGCCCCAAATCCATACCTGCAAATGCTTGTAACTTCTTACGCTCCTCTAGGTTATACTGAAGCTTTTCTAGCAACTCAAAATATCGGAAGAGTGAGTCTCTGGGCCAAACACGGTCATCCTGATCCATTTCCATTAGCCCGGGCAGATTCTCGTGCACAAGAGTCTCCCAGTCCAAATAACCTGTAGGGAGGAATGCTTCAGAAAAGCATGTCTAGATTTGTAAAAGTTGGGTAAGAGCTGATAAATCCTATGGTATGGGTGGAAAGGTAGGGTGAAAAGAGGTAACAGGAAACAAGGAGGGAAAGAGTGCATTAGCAAGAAACCATTTTTTACAATAAGCAAAGAGGGCCACAGCCACACTTACCCAAAGTGAAGAAGTACATGGGAAACTAAGAAGCACAAAGAAAGTAATTAAGACCGGAAAATTGGAAAGCATAGTAGGAGAGCTCCATTTAAGACTAAAATGTCTTATACAGGAGTCTGAATTCAAATGGGAAAAACTCATTATTCTGTGTACTCTTTGCCATTATTAGAACTCTTCTACTCACCAACAGAGTCAGAAAATCTGGATTCAGAAGAGGAAGCATCGGAGGAGGATGTGGAGGAAACATTGGAGGAAGATTGGTACTCTTTCTTTTTTGACAAGGTCTCTTCGGGTTTTGATGCAGATGTTATTACATCCTCTTCAGTGGCCTCATAAATAGACTCTACTTCAGGAACTTCTGGTAAGTCCAAACTTTCCTTTTGTTGAATAGCTCCTCTTGAACTGAAAGGAGAAATGTCTGGGTTCACAAACATTTACAAGATATGACTAGTCCATTCATTATTCTAGTTCTGGCTCTGGCCACCCCCTAAAGCTGGGGCATAAGACAATGAGGGCCAAACTACTCCCAAACTCTAAACTCAGGCACTTCCAATATCAATCATTCATGTGTCATCCTTAACTCTTCACTTCCCTCCCATATCCAGTCCATCAAGAAATCCTGCTGACTCTACCTTCAAAATATATCTTTTCTCACTAACTCACTGGTACCACTCTGGTCTAAGCTGTCATCATTTCTTGCTTGGGCAGCAGCATAGTCTCCCAACTGATCTCTCTGCTCCTTCCCTTATTCTTCTATCAACATAGCAACCAGAGTAATTTGTCTTAAATGTAAGTTACTTCACTCCTCTGTTCTGCTTCCCATTTCAAAGTTCCTACAATGGCACCCATAACCTTACAGGATCAGGTCACCATTATCTTTCTGACTTCATTTCCCAGCACTCTTCCCCCTGCTCACTCTACTACAGTCACAATGGCCTCCTTGCTGTTTCTCAAACACCAAGCATGCTTCTAGCTTAGGACCTTTGCATTAGCTGTTTCCTCTGCCTATAACACTCTTCTTACAGATATCCACATGGTAATCCCCTTACCTCCTTAAAGTCTTTGCTCACATTACCTTTTCGATGAGGTCACCCTGATTGCCCTGTTTGAAACTACAACCCATCTGTAATCCCACCTTATACCCCAAATCCCCCTTAACCTGTTCTACTTTTAATTTTCCCATAATGCTTATCATATTTTAACATATTACTATACTTAATATGTTCATTGGTCATTAATCTCTTTACCACTACTAATATGTAAGCTCCATGAAGCAGGCATTATTGTCTATTTTGTTCACTGATACAGCCCAAGCACCTACTAAGTATTCAATAATTATATGTTCTGTATTGTTTTTTAGGGGCAAGGTCTTGCTCTGTCACCCAGGCTACAGAGCAGTGGCACAGTCATGGCTCACCACAGCCTCACCTCCCAGGCTCAAGCAGTCCTCCTACCTCAGCCTCCTAAGTAGCTGGGACCACAGGTGCACACCACCACATCCAGCTAATTATTGTTTGGAGACAGGATTTTGCCATATTGCCTAGGTTAGTCTTGAACTCCTGAGCTCAAGTGATCTGCCCACCTCAGCCTTCCAAAATGCTGGTATTATAGGCATGAGCCACCGAGCCCACCTTGCTAAAATTTTTTTTGAGATAGGGTCTTGCTCTGTTGTCCAGGCTGGAGTACAGTGGCATAATCATGCCTCACTGCAGCCTTGAACTTCTGGCTTAAACTTCAAGCAATCCTCTTGCCTTGGCCTCTCAAAGTGTTGGGATTAAAAGTATAAGCCATTACATCTGGCCAGTAATTATTTGTTAATGAGTGAATGAGTTTATTTCTGCTTCTCCGTTTTTGTCCACTGCTAAACACTTGGGGTCTAGAAATGTATATGTTTCATTGAAGGTACCTGTATTAGTGTCCTGTAGCTGCCATAACAAATTACTATAAACTTAGTAGCTTAAAATGACAGAAATGTATTCCCTCACAATTCTAGAGGCTAGTTTCTGAAATGAAGGTGTTGGGAGGGCCATACTCCCTCTGGAGGCTCTAGGGAAGTTCCTTGCCTCTTCTACCTTCTGGCAGATGCCTGGCATTCCTAAGCTTCCCATGGCTTGTGATGGCATTAGCCCCAACCTCTATATCCATCTTCACATTGCCTTTTCCTATTCTCTGTGACTTCTCATCTTCCATCTCTTATAAATACCTTTGTTATTGGATTTAGGACCTACCTGGATAATCTGGGATGATTTAATCTCAAGATCCTTAACTTAGGATCTTTTTTTCCAGATAAGGTCACATTCACAGGTTCCAGGGATGTAGGACATGGACACATTATTTTGGGTGCCACTAGTCAACCTACTACAATATGCAGTTATTGAACGAATACTCTCTCAAAGCCAATCTTCATCTTTAGTTTTCTTTTTTTTTGAGACGGAGTTTCGCTCTTGTTACCCAGGCTGGAGTGCAATGGCACGATCTCGGCTCACCGCAACCTCCGCCTCCTGAGTTCAAACAATTCTCCTGCCTCAGCCTCCCAAGTAGCTGGGACTACAGGCACATGCCACCATGCCCAGCTAATTTGTTTTTGTATTTTTAGTAGAGACAGGATTTCACCATGTTGACCAGGATGGTCTCAATCTCTTGACCTCATGATCCACCCGCCTCGGCCTCCCAAAGTGCTGGGATTACAGGCTTGAGCCACTGCGCCCGGCCCAATCTTTAGTTTTCTACCCTTTCCTCCTTCATGTGTTTCTATCCCAGTTCACATATATATTCCTAACCTGTCATCTGTTTTGCTATGAGTTGACCTCAGTGCCTCAGTTGACACGTTTTTTCTCCTGCAAAGCAAAAAAAAAAAAAAAAACAAGAGAGTGAAGAAGTGTGGTAAGAAAAAAAAAGAATTAATATCAGAAAGTGAAGAAAACGAAATGAGGAGAACAAATCATAGTCAAGGGGTGAAAAAGAATGGAAGATTCCCCACAGTGGATGAAGAATCAGGTAATATTCTAGAGCTAGAGAATTCTTATCCCTGGGGACAAATCTTCTGTCACAAAGGGAAAACTGGGGTCAAGGAGTAGAAACAAAAAATGAACTCAGGAAACCCTTGAGAAGAAACACTGGAGTTGAAAATGGAGAAGCAGACCTCTGGATAATCTGCCGCTTGAACATGTCAGCTTTGACCTGAACCTCCC